AGAAATAATTGATGCTAAATAAGCATAATTTAAGAATATATTGTCATTTTTTGAATATAAACACAAATAATCAACATTTAATTCAAAATTAAGATACCGGTATCGTTATAAAATATACCATAAATAAAATAACCAACACAATATTTTAATCATTAATAAAATATAAACATATTTGAAACTTATAATGTAATCAAATAAACATGTAATAATTTTAATTTTTAAATATAAATAATTTAATTCGAATGTAATCGAAAACTCAGAAATATCAATTTCTACGAATTGGCAACACTTAAACATCTTTACTGCGAAAACACGTGAGATAATAAACATTGGACATGAATTTTTTTCGAATTTCTAATTATTTTAATCCATTTTTTAGAAATGGGTCGTAAGTTAGTTTTTTGAAGTCCTTTATTATACTGTAACATTTAAATTTAGTGTATTTTATGCAAATTGAGTTGATAATGCTACTTTAGTTAAGTAAATTTTAGAATTTTTGTAAATTTAAGTAAATTTCAGCCCATTTTCACATTCATTTAATCAGCTTTAGTACTTATTATTATTTTATAACTTTACACGCTTTATAAGCAGTGTATAGAAGATATAAAATAATAATAACTACTAAAGCTGATTAAAGTGTAAGCAAACTATAAAATTTTCAGGTTTTCACAGCTTAAAATTTTATATTTCTTTCTCTTTTCTTATTCAGATTTCCAACTTATACAATTATAATGTTAAATTATAGTACAGTATTTTGAAAACAATTATTTAATGAATCTCACTAAAACATTATTTTATTGTTCAGTACATTTAGTTTCAAAGTTCTAAACACTGTAATTTATTCATGAGCAATTTTATATATAATTAACATATTCAATAATTGAAATTCAAGAAAAGTGTCTGATTTTATTAATCATTCGAATTCACTGTATTTAAATTATTTTATTTTTTATATTTGAATGTAGAGATGTTTTTACTTACATTTGATCTAAACTTGATTGCAAATTAGAAATATTTTATACTAGCAGCTGATTATAGGTTTGAGTGTTGCTCTGAATAATCAATCTTTTGGTTATTTGTTGTACTTTATGTAATTGTGTAAATTTTAAACTGTAATTTTATAATCTGATTTTTGAAAAATTTGTTCTTTTTCTCTGATTCAAAGTATGTCAGAGTTTATATCAGAAGTTTGTAAAAAACTGTTCGTTTGTCAACTAATCATCACAAACTACATTTGATTTTTTGTGTAAAATGCTTAGTCAAAACTGAAGTTTAGAAGGCCAGAAATAACACATATATTAGATATATTGTATATTGTAGCAAAAGAATAGTTAGCATTTCCTATAAACTTCTATTAATTTTAATGAACAATTAATTAATAATATTTAAACTTTTTATGTAATTAAAAATATCTTTTATGTTGATTTAGTAAAAGTTATGTTTGTTAATGATTTTGTTCAGTACGTTTTAGTATTAATGTGTAAAGAATAACTATGCTAGTGATAAACACTCCAAATCTGTATGACTCTTTTATATATTCAAAGGAAAGATATATTAGATTAAAGTAAGTAATAATAATAATTAATTTTATAGGTAGAAAAGTATCATAAAATTACTTTACTTTTATAAGTCTGTATTTTTGTCTTGTTTTATAAATTTGAATTCACTTGTAAAATGCTTTAAAGAGGAAATATTATCTCATGAACTGCAAACATTTTCAAGCTTACGCTCATCTTCAGGCAAGCCAATTCAAATACTAAATCCTCATATGCAATGAATGATAAAATATAAAGTTAATATTAGTATTAATTAGTATTCATTTAAATGAATATCAGTGTTTCTACTAATTTAATCTATTAGAAACAAGTAAACATATGAAGAAAAGTTACATTTAATGTTTGTTTTTCTCTATTTTGCTTATAAAATATATTTTGTATGTAGCATTAACACAAGGATAAATAAGAACATAAAATTAACTTTAGGATTATGGAATCTATCAAGTGATTAAAATAATTATATTTTGAATAAAGTTTTCATAAAAGTAATTTTTAATCTTTTTACTAGATCTGCTATGTCTCAGATTAGGAATCTCTGGTCGAGATCAAATTTTATAAACGGATTAGATTTAGAAAGTCCGTCAAATGCTCCCTTATTTGGATTGCAACAACTTCGAACCAACGTAAGAGTCCACTTTCCTCGGCCAAGTGAACACAAAAGAATTAAAAGACACGGTTACAAGACTCGCATGTCGACACCGTCAGGCAGAAGAATTCTCATGAGACGTATATTAAAAGGCAGATACTTTCTAGCTCATTAATATTATAAATATATATAAATGGCTCATCTTGGTTAATTGATATATGAATATAAATAAAAATAATTGTTATTCCTAAAACAATATTATGTTATATTAGTTTAAATTTAATTTTCTGTATAGAATTATATGAGATAAGTGTATCAAAAGAATTATGTTTATTATAGATATATTTCATTCACTTCAGCATTGACATGCAAGTTTATATTCTTTTAAAAAAAACAATAAATATTACTTAAACAAAATATAATTTTGTGATTAACTTTTTACTAAGTTTTTGAAATTTTTTTATCCAATATAATTATGATTGTTTTTAGAAAATATTCTTTTATTTCTTATACCACAGAAGAATTACAAATCACACATTAAATAAGTTTTGTTAAATGAAGTTGAAAATATATCTATAAAAATAGGTAATTTTAATTAAGAAATTTAGAAGAAAATTATAATGTACAAAATGAAAAAAACAGATGAATAAATAACTGGAACTATGGTTAACTCAGCATCATCCTAGCACTTCCAGTAAACACATTAATTGAAAGTTTTCGTGTATTTCATAAGCCTGCATCAGGTTTCACAATGTGTTTGCTGGAAGTGTAAGGATGGTGCTGGGAGTTAGAAGAAAACGTTTCAAAATTTATGAAATCACAAATTATGGAAAATTATTTTAGGTAATAAATTTATTAAAGTTACGTATCATATGTCAAGACGTGATCGGAGCTTGCATAATACTATACTAGATATAAAATTCAAAATTTTCATAATGATTATTTAATATTAAAATTAAAATTATAATATATTAATAATTTTCATATGGTTAACGTTTAATCATGAACTTAAATAGTTTTATGGTTTACGAGCTCTCGACCCATAATTTTGAAAAAAGCTGGCAGCCAAATTTTTAGTCGAAATTTGAATAATTTTGACAATTTTCATTGGTTTATCTAGTGCAGGGCTTACAGGAACGATGGTCTTATTTAACAATTATTTTATAGCACCTCTTGTACTTTTGATCATTTGAAAACGTTATACTAACACACAGGATATATTGTACTGTACAAATAAAATGGCGATCCCAAGTGGGGTTGCTAATTCTTAAGTAGTCGCATATAAGTTACAATTTTTTTTTATAAACACTCTACTTAAAAATCTTTAAAAATATAGCCAAAGAAAAAATTATAGATGCCAAGCAGTTACAAAATAAAAAACCTTCTATAACAGTTGTGGCAGTTTCGGTTTCAGTACTTGTACTTAACAAAATTTCAAAAATTTGATACTTTAACCAAGGAACTTTCCTTGAATTGTTTTAGATTTTGTGGCCGATGTAAAAATGTTTTCTTGTGGTTTACCAATTTGTCTCACATTTACATAAAATAGTGCAAAAATCAAGTAGTACTTGCCACTCAAAATCGTGTCCTATTAGTATCAGATCCGAAATTTTCAGCGTAGCATAAAAGACGCAAACTCTACCAAGTTCGCGTCTTTTCATTTTGATGTCACAAAAGATATTAAAATCATTGTCTTCTGTTTTCTTACGAGAAATCATCAGAAATCAATCACTTATCAGGAGCGGAAAATTTTTAATAAGCCGATCAGATGGAAAAAATTTAGTTTAGTTTTGCAAATTCAAAATGATCAGACCTCGTTTGGCTGTCAAATATGAAAGTTTTACAATTTAAAATTTGCCATTTCCATTTCCTGGGACAAGAACCCAGGCATTAGAATAAAAACAAAACATACTATTCATAAATCTATCACTTGAAGTGTCTAATGTAAACATGGATGTTTAATCTCTTAAACTGGAAATCAGACATCCAACAACAACGGAATTGGAACGATCAAGAATCTGACAATAGAATTCTTTGTTGCAACATAATGAATTCGATAAAATTTTTTTATTTTTAATATGTTTTTTTCCTGAAAAATATAATTCTTTTGTATATAATTATTGCATTTTATATTACTTCATTGTCATTTGATATAATTAGTAGGAATCAAATGATAGAACTTAGAAACTTAATGCCTGCTTAGAACCTTTTTAATCTATTTTGTTGTTCCATTTAATTTGTCAGAATTCTTCGTATCTACCACAAAAGCATTCAACCTACCAAGTGGTTCAAATTATGGGAGAAAACATGACTATTTCAGACTCTGATACTGTAAATACAATGGAAATTCATGTCGCATTAATTTTGTCTCCGTGGGAATCGTCTTAATATTGGATGGTACAGATATGCATCATTTAATGCGATCAACTGCATATATGACAATGGTCTCATAAGATTATAATGGAACTGAAAAATTGTAGCAACCTGTATCTTGTCCATGTTTAAGTACATAAGAAGTTACTATTGTGTTATATTGCTTATATTTTGGTAGTACATTATATCAGTGACGCAGTTGCCTCCTCCAGCTCGACCATTTACTAATATCCATTTTTGAACAATTGAAACTTGTTTATACAAGAGTGTAAAACTAAACTAAAGTCAGTTACCAAATAATTGTAGAGCTGGTAATTTAGTAACATAATAAGATTTAATTAATCCTTTCTCTCACTTAAAAGACTAATGACTCAAATCACCTGCGCAATTACTGGCTCTGGCAGCTGACTACTGTAAAGAGTATGAGTGACAAAGATTAATGTAAAATTAATTAAGTTTAAAAAGTAAAATCATTCTGATCCAAATTGTTTTATCTTGTATAATTAGAACTTTATATACCAATTTACATATATTGCTTCATCTTTTTCATGATTCAGCATTTTACAGAATTAATGTTGTTATTAATGTTGGAATTCTTAATGTAAATTCTTTGAATTGATTTATTTGTTATTAAGTAAATCAATTAACTTAAGGACCTATGTAGAAATGGAAATTTTACTTCAAAATATTTGAGATGTTTAATAAAATAATCAAAACTTCAGGTTTAAAGCATTGAGCATAACTTATTCACATATAAGTAAACACACATTATTATTATTATTATACACTTGTTTAATGCCATTTCATATATTTTCAAAGACATTTACAAAAAAAGATGGGACTCGAATATTATACAATTTAATAAGGAGATTTTTATCTAATTTCCCATCTCCTGACAAGTTAAAATTAGCATACTACAAATTCTTATCTTCTCATTAGGAATTAATTAGGAATTACAAAAAATTAAATTGGCCACCATAAATTTATGGTATTTATCTCCTTGGTAAGGGATCGTAAATATAAAGTATGCTAAAAACTTGTGAAAAAATATAATCACAGACTAGGAGTATTTACTCCTACCAACTGTAATGATGATTATTAGTTAAATAGTTTTTTTCTATACAAATATTAAACATTGTTATTTAGTTGTATAAATGTTTTGTTATAAACCAGATTATAAAAAATTTGAAGGCAACATTTTGATTTAAATTAAAAAATATCTGATATTTTTACAAATCACCTGAAGAGTACTAAAATTGGACCTCTTAATTTATTCTTCAAAAAAATATAATTTTTAACAATTTAACAAATTCTCTTGTATGTTATATCACATTTTTTTCAATAAAAGTTGAATTTCCAGTTATAATATGATGTGTGGAGAATGAATATATATGATTTCTTTTTAACAAGAGATGTAATTTGCACATCTTTTCATGAAATTTTCCTTTAAAAAGAAAGCAAAAATATATTCCATTTTTAGTCTATAACTAAATGCTGGCATTTATAGCAATTTCTTTACATATATAATTATAATTTTTTTTAAATGACAGTCTTTCTTGGAAGCTTTTTATATATTTGGATGAAAACTGTCCGATCTTTGCACGGTGGATGGATGCAGATAATCTCTATCATCAACATAGTAATCAGGATAAGGTATCTGGTTTCCGTAGAACCTTTCTTGTTCTTCTCTTTGTTTTGCAAACTCTTCCTCCAATTTCTAAAATACATTAAAATTGGTTTTATACATAAACACAGACTAAGTGAAAATAATGGTATGCAATAAAAAAACAAGAACAAATATTAAATAACAAATCATTCATAAAAGTAAAGTAGTTAGACAAGTATATATTTAGGATATGTTTTCAAGATATTATGAATATGTTTAAAATTTTAATGTTTTTTATTTTCATAAACTACATTTTTATATTAGAGAAAAACCACTAAAATGCTATGAACATAGAAATTTTGTTATATAGTTTTGAAAGTTAGATATTAAAAAATGCAATAAAATGTTTGAAATGCAGAAGTACAGAGGAATGTTAAGAAAAAGTTATGAAGAAAATGAAAAAAAGCTGTAAAAAAAGAACATACTTTGGACACATTCAATATGCCATAGTCTATAACCAAGATAGAAGGAAAAATGAAAGCAAGGAAGAAAACAACTTCATAGTTGGATAACATTAAGGAATGAACTGTAAGTGGAATTGTATCTTTGTATCACTTGGCATTTAATAGATGTTTGTTGACTGCTAAATATATGTAAATATCATAAATTGTACTAGATATGTATTTCGGACAGATCTGTTTTAAATGGAATAAAAACAAAAAACACCGAAACTTCATTTTTATTTATTTTTTTGTTCTATATAGTCTCTTGCTCTCATTTCACTTGAATATGGGATATGAAATTATCTTTCCAAATGTATGTTCAAAATGTCAATTTACTTATTCTTAACTGAAATGCTGATAATGCAAATAAATTTTTTGCATAAATTACAATTCAGTTTTGAAATTAGGTATATTGCTATAATTATAGAAGAAATACATATTTACTTATCATAAATAATAAAACAAAGCATTTTTCTATTAACATATGACTCAAGTTTAATCATAAAATACAAATAATTAAGAGAATGCTAAGTTATCAATAAAATATCATATGAATAGAAAAGAGAGAAAGAAATAGTTGAAATGTGCAGTAAAGATTTCAGTTCAATAATTTAATTTTCCTCAATATTTTGAAGTTGTTTAATGCAAATTATACAAAATAAAATAATCAATAAAATATTCTGAAAAATCAAAAATATTTCTGCACGTAAACATAAAAATTTATGATATAATAAATAATTAAATTTAAACTTGTAAAGATTAATGCTAAATTACAAATTAACTTTTCTTTTTGAATGTATTTTTCAATACAGAAATTTGATTTTACCTGTTTTCGTGGTTTAAGATTAGTTTTCCATTCTCGAAGTTCTATTAAATGTTCTTCTTCTAATTGTTTTAATTTAAGAGTTTCATGCTCCATCAGCATTTTACGTTTTTCATTCTTATCAAATTAAAAAATTATATGAAAATCAAAATTGCTACAAATTAAATATTTAAAGTGAGCAATAATTACTTGTAACTGTTCTAATTCACGAATGGTTGTGTCTGCAGCAGCTCTCAACTCTTCTAACTGACGTTTGTGTTTTAGTTCTTGTCGTTGTTGCTCTGCTTTATATCTTTTCTTTTCTCCATCTTGAAACTAAAAATTTTTAAAGAAAACTTAAACAATAGAAAAATGTTCATACACTATAAGTTCATTTTAAAATAAGTGTATTTAAAAATTATATATAGTGATGATAAAAGTCTCTTCCTAACCAATTATTGAAGAAACTAATAATACTTAATAGGAACTAATAATGCAATGGATTATTGAGGAAGTTAATAATGCAAACTAATAATAATGGATCTTATGCCAATTACTGCCAATGGATCTTTTTTGGAAGTCAGAACTGTGCTATGTAATGATGCAATTTATCCAGTATCTTCTTTTGTGTCAAAAGTGGTAAGACTGCCTTAAGTCCTAAGGAAAACAATACAACAAAATAAATTGCAAAATTATACAGAATGATAAAACAAGTTGAGTTTTATTGCATTTCAAAATACAATGTATGATGAGAAGTGATATAAGAAATAAAAGGAAAATCCTAAAAAAACTATTCTTTTAGATTTAGATTCATGTTTTAAATGACTGTTACCTATCCATTTTTAATTTTGACTTGATAGCATTTGAATACATAGAATAAAAACAAAATGTATAAATACCAATGGTTAGTAATGTTTCCCATTTAGTTTTGAAGTCATTGGACTGCAATTTGAAAAAATACCTATAAATTCCTACTGTCATCCCTCTGTCTGTGTCTGTCTTTTCTTAATCTTGAGAACAGAGTTAGATGAAATTCAAGACCAGAAATGGAAAGCTTAGGGGCTGGAGGCCCTAATAACTATATACAAACTTCTAGTCTAGACCAGAAGTCATGTGAATTCAATTAAAAAATTTCTCTCTGAATGGAGTTACATAGATGACTGGCATGACTCTGTTGTTATCAGGTAAAGTATGATGTACAGGGGCAAAACACTATAAATTTGAGATGGAAAAACATATATTTAAATTGAATAAATTAAGAATATGTTTAAAATTTCAGCCTGGCATTGTGATTAAGTTACAATAAATAATTGCTCATTTCCATTGTATTGTATATTTTCATGCCAGTTTTGAAAGCTTGTTTCAGAATTCTGTTTAATATTTAGAATACAGTGGTACCTCAGGATACGAAATTAATCCGTTCCAAAACCGAAATCTTATCATGAAAATGTCATAAGGTGAATCATTTTTCCCCATACGATTACATGTAAAACCAAATAATTCGCTCCAACACGAAAAATACACTCAAATTAAATCTAAGTAATACATTAAAAAAAATAACTATAGTAAGGAAAACACTGAAAAATGAGTTTTGTAGTTGTAAATGTATAAATAACCATAATAGAATAATAATTGCTTAAAAAAATGTAGTTTTATTTGCACTTTACCTTTGAGGATAGATGACAGTGAAGGGGTAAACTGATGGCGGAAGAGAGGGAGAAGGGAAATGATACTAAAACTTAACTTACATAACAATGTAACAATAACTTAAAAATAACTTAGAAAAGATAAAAAAAATTATTGTTGTTTTATATATATATTTTTTAAAATTTTTATTTACTGCTTTTTGCTTTCTTTCTTCACTTCCATCAGCNAATATATTATGTTTGTATCTTGGTATTCTGTACAACATATATAATGGTGCTTAGTACTATACCAGACCAAATTTAAGGCATAATTACAGAAAACAAATATTCTTTTTATTTGCTGTTTGTGTATGTATCTGTGTTTAAGAATTTCCTGACTATGTGACATAGGTTTGGTATTGCAGCCTTCTGTAGTTTGATGTATATGTTGTTGTTCTTTTGTGAAACCTAACGTGTTTGTGGTATGATATCTGTGAAAGAAAGTACTTCTAATATAATACATATCTGATCTATTCTCAATAGTTGTGTGAGAATTCGGATGCAAGTGTAAATTTTCACACTGAACTGTGTCACATCAAAGATGACTTTTATCGTCCAAAGAAGGACTCCCCTCACAACAGGGGATCGTTCATGTCTAACAGCCGAAGAGGATCTCTACAGTTGGAGATCAACAGAGTGTACACCCTCTAAGGACATAGCTCAGCGGACATCCAGGGACACCAGTTCCATACCACCATACCGTCCTTCGCTCCATATCGCCATCCAAGGGAACTTCAATTAGAAACCGCCAATCCCAGTGCGTCATACCAATGCCCTAAACGAAGAGATCAAGTCCTAGTGAGGTAAACCCTTGTCCTCTCTAAGATGGACGTTTTGGGGGGAGAGAGTGTTCTCTCTCTCTCCCCAAAACGTCCCTCTTAGAGAGGTCTCTCTCATTCTTTAGTTTAGGATAGTTCGTAGATATAGAATAGATTCCTTTTATTATTTACGCATGTGTTATTTATGCTTTTTCCTTTGATATGTATAATCCCTTAGTTGTTTATTAAATGTGTTGTTATTGTCCAACCTGTGTAGTTATTCGGACACCTAGTCATGACCTCTCCCCACTCGATTTGCCCTCCTAAGCCATCCGACAAACTGAGAGTGGGTTTTACCAACCCGTGCAGATTAAGTGGTCATTAGGGATCATTCCCAGTGGCCCCCTGCTACCTCACAGTTGCTTTATTTCATGGGGCAAGGAGATACCATAATTCGATACACAGGCCCAAAAAATCATATTACAAACTACCTTGATTCCACTCTTCTAAAGTTCTGATTATTTACTAATTTTTTTCAGTGTACATTGTGGATAGTTTGTTACAGCTATGTCTATAATGTATGTGATTATGCTTTGTTTATTAATAAATGTAATGGTCTGTTGTGATAGATTGTTTTATCTGTGATTATGGATGGCATGGTCTTATTTTGTGTGTGTTATTTTCTATGACTGACCAAGGTATGTATTTGTAATATGTTTCCTGGGTTTGTTTGTGTATACAAGCTGGTTATGTCAATGTAAATAATCAGCTTTTATTAAAATGTTTGCAACTTAATGTGATATATTGTGTAGTTTCATGCATAATTTGGCATTTCCTACAAGTGTCGCCTGTAAGTGCTGTCTTTTAAAATGTACTTCCTGTTTCTTGACCTGGTTTGTACAGCAATCAAGAACTATTCTGTGCTTCATCCACAAATCAGCCAGCAGTTTGATGCAGTTATATCAACACAATCCTGACTGAGATTATTAGGGTACCTACTGTAGAGCTCCTTTCAAGCCCAGGTCTGTCTGATGGTGTCTGTACATTTTGTGTACTATGTTAAATCCAAGTCAGTGCTATGAAAGTTTAATGGTATGCTGTTTTTGTCTGCAAGAGTCACTGCTTTGTGTAATTATAATGTTTAAAAAACATCTACTTTATTGATGCTTCTACTAAATAAATAGTTTTCAACTTTGTGCAATTTTCTGTAGAACAATTCTTGCAGCATGTGTATTTGTTTAAAGTGAAGGCTTACCACATCAAAACCAGACAATCTACCAAGATATCAGGATTATCTGTGCAGTGTCATCCTTCCACTTTAGGAGAAAAATCAGCCTTTCTACAGAGGACTTAGTATGGTGTTTCATGTTTTATTAATGTTATTTGTGTTTCTTTTGGACTAGTTTTGTGTGTACAACATATAACTCCAAATGAATATGTCAGTACTGGAATGATGTGTTAATTGCTTTATATGTTGTTCTGCATTCAATTGTGTTGTTAGTATTGAATTTAATCTGTGAATAATGGTTAGAGTACTTATTGTGCATATGGTCTTTTCTTGCACAGGTATCATACCAAATACATTACACAAAATTCTGGAAATATTAAAGTTTTTACAACAGCATACACATCACATTACAGAACACTGTCATACTACACACATTTTATGTAGTAAATTCTTAAACACAGATATACAGATGAACAGCATATAACATAATAGCTTGTTCTGCAGCTAATAAGCTTATCTTTGGTTGGCGTAACACTAGGCACCAGTATATTTGTCCTGTAGGATATATTCTAGAAAAATTATTATTATTATTTAATTTTAGTTTTGTTTTGGTTGCTATGCCTTGACTTTGGTCTGGCATAGTACACAGTCACCAGTATCAACCGTGCATAACCCACTAAACCCAACATAATAATAATAATAATAATAATAAATTATTTATTGTAACAGATGAAAGAAAAATTTTTGTTAGCTTAAATAAAATTATTATAATAAAATTTTATAATAATAGTTTTAAAACATCTGCATCAGACTGCTATTCTTAGCTTTTTAAGCTTTAAAATTTAATTTTAAAGTTGTTTTTTATGCATATATTTAAAAATTAAACCATTTATTAACAATAGTAAAATACAGAATTTTCTTACAAAATTAATAAACATAAAATTCATAACAACAAACCTTTCTTATCTTCATTCTCTCATCATCTGGTGATTCTGTTAAATTTGTTATACTAATTCGGAGGCTCTCCTTAAACATTAGTTCTCGTGTTTTCATCTCTGACCTTATACGTTTCGGCAACTGCCTCTTTTCAACAGCTTGTTGCTTCACTAGCATTTCTTCTTTCCTCACATTCATTCTCTTTACTTGTTCTAATTCCTATTTATTAAAATCATAATTAATATTTATTATTCTTTTTTGATAGGTTTTTGAAATTAAATATTTGTGCTTTATACCTTTTCATGACGTATTAACATTTGATGACGCTGTAGAAAAAATATATCCTTCAACTGTCGCTTACTTAACTGATGTTTTTCATGAAGATGTCTCTCTTCATATTCCCATAAAGCTGCTTCTTTTGCTGTAAAAATTTAAAAAAATTTCAAATTTCTTAACTGATAAAATCATATTTAATAATTCTAAACCATTTTTTTTCCAGATATGTCTTTCTTGGAAGCTTTTTATATATTTGGATGAAAACTGTCCGATCTTTGCACGGTGGATGGATGCAGATAATCTCTATCATCAACATAGTAATCAGGATAAGGTATCTGGTTTCCGTAGAACCTTTCTTGTTCTTCTCTTTGTTTTGCAAACTCTTCCTCCAATTTCTAAAATACATTAAAATTGGTTTTATACATAAACACAGACTAAGTGAAAATAATGGTATGCAATAAAAAAACAAGAACAAATATTAAATAACAAATCATTCATAAAAGTAAAGTAGTTAGACAAGTATATATTTAGGATATGTTTTCAAGATATTATGAATATGTTTAAAATTTTAATGTTTTTTATTTTCATAAACTACATTTTTATATTAGAGAAAAACCACTAAAATGCTATGAACATAGAAATTTTGTTATATAGTTTTGAAAGTTAGATATTAAAAAATGCAATAAAATGTCTGAAATGCAGAAGTACAGAGGAATGTTAAGAAAAAGTTATGAAGAAAATGAAAAAAAGCTGTAAAAAAAGAACATACTTTGGACACATTCAATATGCCATAGTCTATAACCAAGATAGAAGGAAAAATGAAAGCAAGGAAGAAAACAACTTCATAGTTGGATAACATTAAGGAATGAACTGTAAGTGGAATTGTATCTTTGTATCACTTGGCATTTAATAGATGTTTGTTGACTGCTAAATATATGTAAATATCATAAATTGTACTAGATATGTATTTCGGACAGATCTGTTTTAAATGGAATAAAAACAAAAAACACCGAAACTTCATTTTTATTTATTTTTTTGTTCTATATAGTCTCTTGCTCTCATTTCACTTGAATATGGGATATGAAATTATCTTTCCAAATGTATGTTCAAAATGTCAATTTACTTATTCTTAACTGAAATGCTGATAATGCAAATAAATTTTTTGCATAAATTACAATTCAGTTTTGAAATTAGGTATATTGCTATAATTATAGAAGAAATACATATTTACTTATCATAAATAATAAAACAAAGCATTTTTCTATTAACATATGACTCAAGTTTAATCATAAAATACAAATAATTAAGAGAATGCTAAGTTATCAATAAAATATCATATGAATAGAAAAGAGAGAAAGAAATAGTTGAAATGTGCAGTAAAGATTTCAGTTCAATAATTTAATTTTCCTCAATATTTTGAAGTTGTTTAATGCAAATTATACAAAATAAAATAATCAATAAAATATTCTGAAAAATCAAAAATATTTCTGCACGTAAACATAAAAATTTATGATATAATAAATAATTAAATTTAAACTTGTAAAGATTAATGCTAAATTACAAATTAACTTTTCTTTTTGAATGTATTTTTCAATACAGAAATTTGATTTTACCTGTTTTCGTGGTTTAAGATTAGTTTTCCATTCTCGAAGTTCTATTAAATGTTCTTCTTCTAATTGTTTTAATTTAAGAGTTTCATGCTCCATCAGCATTTTACGTTTTTCATTCTTATCAAATTAAAAAATTATATGAAAATCAAAATTGCTACAAATTAAATATTTAAAGTGAGCAATAATTACTTGTAACTGTTCTAATTCACGAATGGTTGTGTCTGCAGCAGCTCTCAACTCTTCTAACTGACGTTTGTGTTTTAGTTCTTGTCGTTGTTGCTCTGCTTTATATCTTTTCTTTTCTCCATCTTGAAACTAAAAATTTTTAAAGAAAACTTAAACAATAGAAAAATGTTCATACACTATAAGTTCATTTTAAAATAAGTGTATTTAAAAATTATATAATGAACAAAACATCTACTTTATTNTCACAAGTAACCTATAGAATACAATATTGCATCAGTACAAAGAGACAGACAAAGCATTTCATGGTCAAGGGTGTAAGGTTACATATCTCAATGACTTACAACTATAGTTTGTGGAATTTTACTTGATTCCAAGGAGAAAGTGCCTTGTTAATATATATATTAGACTCAAAGACTGAAAGCACTCATCGAACAAACAAAATCGACCACAATGCAATCTGACTTTTCAGATCCAGCCACAACTGAAATTTCATGTGGCACTTTCTAAAAAGGCACACAATGTGTTTTTGCATATTCAATAAGACCCCAAAGTAAAATTCATGTCAAGATTCTTTAATAATCAACTAAAATGTGATCCATCAATGTGAACATGCCACATGTTGGGGACAGTTATTATTGCAGCCACAGACGAATAACACTACAGCTGGTCGAGAGTGTACAGGAGAAGTCCAGATACAACATTGACAAAGTACTAAGAGGAAATGAAGTGACATATTACCCAGCTAATATAAATAACTACACAGTGCAAACCAACTTTGATGAAAAACCAGACTACAGGACTAAGCAGACAATCTACATGGATGGGTCAAGGAATGACCATAACTGGCTCAGGAATAGTAAACATAAATAACAAGGGCCAAACCATCTATCAAGCAAGCCTCAAGTTAGATGATCATTGCAGCAGTACACAAGCAGAGATGTGGGGCATCTACTGGGTAGTTGTCTACATCACTCAACAAATCAATTATTTCAAAGGCCCAATCAAGCTTTACACAGATAGTAGAGCAGCCCTGAATATTCTGCATAACAAGAGAAAACCAACCATTCTTGCAGCTGAAATGATCTCTGCAGCAAACAATCTGACAAGTAACAGAGAGATCCAGTTCTGCTGGCTTCCAGGGCGTAAGAAACATACCAGAAACAAACTAGCAGATAGACTCACAAAAAAGGCAAGCAACATAAATACACAGCCAACGTATAACAGTGTTTTAACAACATACATCAAATGCAAGCTAATATCAGAAATTGAAGAAAAGTGGCAAGTGGAATGGAGTAGTGCTGAAACAGGTAGACAGCATTTTGCCTTCATCCCAACCATCTCCCTTAGGAAGACAGTTAAACATTACAACCAGACACAACTGCTACACAGATTCTGACAGGCCATGGAGCCTTCCCAGCATACAATTATTCACAAAATCTCAAAACAGCACTTGTGATTGTGATAGGGAAACAGGGAGACATTTTCCACTGCAAGAAGTAAGAAGAAGAAAGACTAAACTTTATGGGGAAATGCCTAACCTAACAGATTGCCCAAACTTTTTGAGATCCTTCAAGACCAAATAAGGTGGAAGGTGATGTTGAAATTTATCAAGCAAACAAAGCTTCTACACACAAACATTTTGAATGAACATTAATGCAAAAAACATTGCTATAGGAAGACAACTGTAGATCTGAACTGTTGACTCCAACATAAGTCAACGAGCAACAAATCGGCAAGTAACTACAGTGTAATTTTATGTATAGTCTTGTTAGTAGGACAACCTGTAATGAATTGGCTGAACCAATGCATTGAAGCAAGGTCTGTAAAATCCCATGTGGGGATTGTTAACTGGCCATGTTGACCACAACCTGATTATCATCATCATCTAGTATTGTACAAAAATTAGTCAACAAGGGGTAAGGTAATGGGATAAGCAATGCTCATTCAGTAATGTAAATATTGTAAATAGCCTGAAAGAACATGGCATGTAATCTTTTCAATGAAACAAAATCCTGTATAGTCCCATAAGTAAGAGGAATTGTAATGGACCAATTAAACCAAACCACTGAGGCAAGTCACCTGTAAAATTCCTAGCAGGGATTATTCACTGGCCAAGCTGGCCATGTTCTGTACTCATTATCAGGCCTGTGTTATTTTAAGTCTCAGCTACCCAACAAAGGATAGATAACTGGGATAAGCTTTGTCATACAAATTGTAAATAGCCTGTATTCTGTAATTTTGAAAGTTTAATATAAGCGACATAGATGCTCTTAATTGTTCAGAATTAGTCCTTTGGTGGAAATTATAAATAAATTATTTATTAAAAATATCTGTGCAAAAATTTGTTACTTATTTTTGCACAAATATTTTTATCACATGCATCATGGATGCATTAATAAGCATCCACAATGCATTGTGGCATTTTCACATTGTCAGATTGTATTTTGGTTGATTATTGAAAGAATTTTGAAATGAATTTCACTCGTGATCTTATTGAATATGACAAAATGCATTGTGTGCATTTTCAAAAGTGTCATGACACAAAATTTGCATTGTGGCTGGATCTGAGAAGCCAGAACATATTGCATCAATTTTTTCATTCAAGGAGTGTTTTTGGTCTTTGAGCCTAATATATATACAAAAATCTAATTCTTTACATTTTTTATGAATTTTGCAATGTAAAAATGAATGTCTGTATCTTTACTATATATCAATGGCATTTGAATAAATGTAGCATATGAAGACCAAAATTAAACTTTATAAAAGTACAGAAATAATGAAATACCTCTTAACAACTGTTGTTTTTGTTGGAGAAACTGACGTTCTAGCATTGCAATCTTTTCTCTGTGACTATCTGCCAACCTTTTCATAGATAATTCATGATTTTCGTTTAATTTTTCTAGAAACACTCGCTCCTGAAAATGATATAAATAAAAATTAGTTATGTTCAACATTTTAAAATTTCTATATTTGTCTTATTAAAATTAAATTTAAAAATATCATTGAGTTAATAAAATTATGTATTAATTTAAATATAGATGATATATATAACATGAACAAAATTTTAATAACTGCTATTTATAAGACAGTGTTATGTAATGATTTGTTTATGATATATATAAGAGTGACTAAATTTTTCACTTAATATTTTTATCTCTAAAGCATTTATGCAGTGCTACAGGCAACATATTTAGGAGGTAATACAAGATTTGCAAACATTTTACTAGTATGCACAGAAGAAGGTTTACAATAGATGTTCAAATAATCTAATAAAAGTTAGTTATGTTCAACATTTTAAAATTTCTATATTTGTCTTATTAAAATTAAATTTAAAAATATCATTGAGTTAATAAAATTATGTGTTAATTTAAATATAGATGATATATATAACATGAACAAAATTTTAATAACTGCTATTTATAAGACAGTGTTATGTAATGATTTGTTTATGATGTATATAAGAGTGACTAAATTTTTCACTTAATATCTTTATCTCTAAAGCATTTATGCAGTGCTACAGGCAACATATTTAGGAGGTAATACAAGACTTGCAAACATTTTACTAGTATGCACAGAAGAAGGTTTACAATAGATGTTCAAATAATCTTTCTCCAGCTTCTAAACATAGGCAGAATCTGTTCAATGTTAAATGTCAAACATAATTGAAAACAAATAAGTTAACTTTAACTACATCTGCAACTGTGGGTTGCTATTTTAATAATTACGTGGATTCTCATAAACCATAGACATCACATATGCCCCAAAGGAAAAAAAAATCTAATGGCAATAAGTCTAATAACTGGGAAGGTCACACTTTAGGACCACCTTGCCCAATCCAGAATTGATGAAATATTTGATGTAAATAATCCCTCATATTGATACCAAAGTGAGCTGCTGCCTCATTTTGTTGGACCACCATCTGCTTTCTTGTTGCAAGTGGTACATCTTTCAAAACTTGTGGTAAGTTTCCTCATGAAAACATGAGACACATTAACATTCAGCACAAACAGTAAAATATAAAGCCCTATAGGTAGTTACCAATGATCTTGTTCCAAAAATTCACTTCAAATCAGGATTGATAGGATTATATAAGTCACACAGGAATTTACATCCATACAGATATGACAGTTGTGAAAACTGAAAAACTTTTCTTGCTTGAACATTGCTTTGTCAGTAACTAATGTTGTTGATGGAAATACAGTCTGAAATTGAGTCTGTTCCAATACCACTGTTGTACATAAGTAGATTATGTTGGAGAGTCATCAGGACAAGGCCTGCACACATTATCAGCTAAATGGATGTAGCCAATATTTATGCAGCATATTCTACAAAATGGTGTGATATGTCCCAAGACATTGGCAATCGAAAGACAGCTTGTAGAATTGAGCTGCACTTGTGTATCGCTGCCTCAAATTGTGAATTCCTTCTTAAGAACTTCCTTTCCCATCAGATCTTCTAAAGAAGCAACATATTTCTCGTAAATGTCAAATGTACTGATATAAAGATGGAATGGTGAGGCATTTGATGGCCAGGATATCATTGTTCAGGCTTCTCAACTATCACTGTTCACTGCCCTGTATGCTAATTGCATAACAATCGTCTCTTCAGAGGTATATCTCTGCATGCTGCTATTTCTACCTTAACAGAAATGTTTGGTTACCTTTATCTTCAATGTGATGAGAGGAAAATCTACATATTTTTATATGCTTTTTAAGTTACTCTGATTGTTTGTCTGTCCAGATAAAAATATTGTGACTCAACTTTCCCCCACTTCCCAATTTCTGATCAAGCTGAAACTTGGCATACATATGTATTCCTGATGACAATACATTTTTTAGAATTTGCAAACGATTTTAGCAATTAGAAAAAATTTCAAATTTGTAAATAAAATCTAATGACAAATAGTGATATATAAAGTTTAATTTGTGAATACCATTTACATCATGCAAAAGCAGCAATCCCTTGCTTCTTTTTAGTCATATTGTCTAAATAAAATTTTGTAATTCAGTTTTTTTACCCACTTTCCAATTAAATGCTAAACTAAGAAGAATTTTGATAATTCACTGTTCTGTATATAAAACAAAAACATATTTTTAAAAATATTTTTAAAGAAATACTTTTTATTCACATAAATGTAATAAAAAATAATTTTTTTTTCAGCTTTCATAGAATTCTTGGTATTATGTAACCAAATACAAAATCATGGTGATACTGGTGCTTAGAAGTACACTTTCTATCGATTTTTATTGGCTTCCCATGAGCATCCAATACTTTTATTTTTGGTCATATAATACCAAGAATACTGTGAAATCTGAAAAAATTTATTTTTTACTTTTTAGTGCATTTGTGTGAATAAAAATTTTCTTATATATTTTATTTCCTCATTACTTTAGGACATTTGAATGCAAATATTGCTGCAATAGTGCATTAAAGAGAAAAATGTTATTAGCAAAAAAGATGAGAGATATCAGAGCGGATTTTACGCTAAATTAAGGTACTTTTTAGCCTAATTCTCCATTGCAATTGTTAAGAAAACATCGCACAGAAAATGGATTGAATATCACCCTTTCCATCAATAATTAGAAAGTTATAGCAATTGAGTAGTAAACGATAACAACCTATTGTTAAAAGAGGGGAAGTCAACTGTCGAACATGTGAGGATTCGAATCCACTATGTTTATCTCATTTCATCATTTCACAGTGTAGCTATACTTTTGTTCAATAACTGTCAACTTTTAAACATGGGAGCTAAACATCTGTTAAGTTCTCAGGCTTATTAACGACGCTTTTTCATCACCTTTTGACCTCAAATCTCCGTTTCAACAATACAACCTGAAAACAGAACAACAAAGTGGGGCAGTCATCTCCCTGTCCTCGAAGAGATCATTCTCAAATTCTGTATCTTTTTCCATGTGCATTGTGCTTTTCACTGGATCATCGGACTTATTTAAGTACCTATTCTCTGGATTAACATTGACCCAAAATACTTGATTGCCTAACTGGATTAACTTCGTTGTCAAGACCTACTAGCAATTCACTAAAACTCAAGGTATTTATCGCCATGCGTAACTTCTGTAAACTCTCTCTCTCGAGAACTGCGGAACTGTAACCAAAATCTTAGATCCATTTAAAGGAAATGTCTATGATATATTTATATCTCATATCAATTGTAGCAAAGACCTCTAACAGCTAGCATATTTAAAATCGATATATTTTATATCCTGTATGACCTACAGTTACCAATTAAATAGTTGTTACGTTAACCCGTCTCTGAGTAAGTCACTTCCGGTGCACTGTCTCTCCCTCCATCCCTAATCCATTTGCTCACACACGCGATCGTTCGTGCGAGAACACAACGGTTTCTTTGTCTGTCCGTAAAGACACGGTGGTGTCAGTCCTGACAAAACTTGTCATTGCGATCTTCGCCAACGCAATGTGGACCCTTCGGTCACGTGGTGCTGAAGTATAGGGAGGCCCTACAGTAAACAGAGGTACAGAGTAAACAGAATTTTTCTTTCAAGTATCGAACCAAATATGGTAATAGCAGCTCCATTTAACAACATCTTATCATCATCAATGGCTCACCTATGACCCAACACCTGTAAAAGCAACCATCGTCTCCAATAATATATAATCACCTGATGGGTTTTCCCAGGCTAAAATGGATAAAAAGGAGGCTGGCACTCGAGTCAGGGCAAACATCCCCTGAAACAGGTGGGCACCCTCAGCCTTGCCATATTCAGGCGGACATGCAAGGTGGACATTCCCCGAGACCATACAAAGGGACAGCTACCAGCCTAACCATACAGAGCATACAGACCCAGGTCTTATACTCCAGAGGGACTCCACCCAAGGCTCCAACTCATCATATCCCAGAACAAACACTCTGCAGAAGTGACCAACACAGCTTCTGACACAATGAGCGGTCAACGAATCAGGTACACACCAGAGATAAAATCCTTAAAGAATTGTAAACTCTCTCTCAAGCTACATAGGTCTAAGTAGAATTAGTATTGGTAGAATCGCACATGAGCACTTACTCCATCGTTTAATCGTTTGTAGCCTTAGTTGTACATTCTGCAGTTCTTTGTACGCTTAGATTTAGATAGTTTTATTAAATTTTTATTATATTTGTTATCCTGTCTTACTCAAACTCCAGACAACCTATCAACTTGCCCATCATGCTCCCCACTGAACTGTTTAAGACCCTATTCAGCCATCCAGTCATCCAGAGAGCAGTTTTCGGTAAACCGTTGCCGAATAAGCGGTCTAAAGGAAACCCTCTTTGGCCCCGAGTTCTCACAAATATTTCTTTTTGTGTCCATTAAACCTAAACTTTCTGTTTATAACCTAAAATTTGTTGGTCTAATTTTTTATATCCTGTACATTTACATTAAAAATTTATCACTCAATGTTTTTTCCCTAATGGAAACAAACCTCAACCAATTAGCCATTTGAAACAAAATATGTTATAAATAAAATATAGTCATTAATATAAATGCTAAAAAAGAATAACTTACTCTTTCTGCTTGATCTAATTCCATTTGTTCCCTGCGAATTCGAAAGATGTCTTTTCTTTTATCTTTTGGTAATAATTCTGTTTCTTGTTTGAGCAATTTAAATTCATTCTTGAGAGAATCACGGAAAGCTCTTAATTCTTTTTCCTGAATAAAAACAAATGAATATTAGGGAATAAAACACAAAGGAAAAGAATTTTAATACAAAGTAAAATCTAAATTCAGATTTATTAAAATATTAGGTTATTTTAATAAAGCTTCTAAAATTACTAATAACTTATTTATATATATATACAAATAAGTTACTAGTAATTAATTTCATATATATATATATGAAATTAATTTTGCAAGTTAGCATTAGATACTTACTTGATCACAACGAATTTTTCTTGATGCAAATTTTAAGTCCAATTCTTGCTGCTGTTCTGCCTTTTCTACTTGTTGTTTCTGTTGTCTATTCAATGCCTCTAAATCATTATCATAGTTACGAAGTAATCCCTTCAGAAAAGAATATTACTTCAGAAAATTTTATTGTTTAATTGAATAAAAATAAAAATTACGGGCTACACAAGCAGAATAACTAAAACTAATAATCTGCATTATGTTAAGAACTAATTAGTGAAAATTCACATCCTAATTTAATTAAAAATTATTATTATTATTATTATTCAGATAGAGGAACCACTAGTGATATTTTTCATGAACCAACCAAAATATGAATCACTGATAAAACCTGAAAATCTTATGTTTGGTTGTTTCATGAGACACTATCTAAATTCTACAATTTTAATAACACCAGAATCATCTGTAAATTAGATTAATTAATTCAGCATACTGTTAATTCTTGTTCAAATTTTTTCTCTTGTTGTTCACGATGAAATTGAGCTTTTGTAGAAAGATCTTGAAACTGTTTAGTTTCTTGTTTTTGGAGCATTTTTAATTCACGTAATTCTTGTTTCCTGTAAAATTTATTTCTTAATAAAATAAATAAACTCACTTTTCTTTCCTTAATCAAATCTATTTATTTATTTAATATATTTATTATTTATAAATAATTCATTTGTTGATATGCAAATTACAACCATTTAAAACTGTTATCGTAAAAATCTGTACTGATTAAAAATTTCCAAAAAAAAATATAAATAAAAATACTTAATACTAACTGAATTTTGAAACATCAAATAATTTAAATAAACTATCAAAAATTTTTAAACAACTAATCCAAATATTAAATTCTAGTCCAAGCCAATCCACAATCTGTTTTCAACCATCTACGTGAGACTCAAGTAGCGTCCCTGCACCTCTGATCATGGACCATGAGGACAGAATTGGATCATGTTATCAATATTAACCAGCAATATGTCAGGAAGAGATGAAATCTCTGAAAATTACTTGCAAGTCTTGATTCCAACAAAGAATCCATCCTATTGCTTAAAATCACACCTGGCAGTCAGACAAAATACCATCAGACTAAAAGACAGCAATAGAAGTCCTCACACTTGAAAGCAGCAAATGCAGTCTACAGGCCAATTGTCCTTACTTCAGTGATAGTGAAAGTATTTGGCTCACTGACAATACTAGATCCTTCCAAGACACAATGTCATAGAAAATCAATTCAGCTATCTCCCAAGAAGAGGAACAGTGGTTGCACTGGCCACCCTACATCACCATCTCTCATTGCTAAGACACATCATCACTGACTGTTTCAGGTTGCTTTTGAATTTGCAGACAAATCCAATCTGGTCTGCCATCAAGCATTTCTATCTAAGCTAGAAAGAATAAGAATTCTGAGCAGAATCCTGGTCTCAATCTGAATTTTCTCACAAACAGAACCTTTCAGGCTTGCTGTTACTTGAAATAAAGCAGTTTCACCAATGTATGCCATAGGGAAGCATTTTAGTATCTCTGCTGTTCTTGAACTACATATACAATCTATGATTAGTTCTTCTTCAAGAAGTATAGGGTATATCCTACAAGATAACATCTTTACCAGCATCAATCAAACTACAGTGATAACCAAGCTATAAGTAGCACTCAACACATAGGTATTTGAACCTCTTTCCTAAAATAGATCATTCTATGTTCAACTTCCATCTATCCATAGATGACATCCTACAAAATGTCAAACTATAAGTTCCAAGTATGGTATTCACATGGTCACACCATATACAAGACACTTGAAACAAAATACACAGAACAAACTTCATTCCAAAACACTGCCTCCCAAGTGAAACCAGAATTAAACACATGTTGAAAATTGTTCAGAATATGCTAAATTCTCATCTATGGAATACCCTTGCTGACTCAGACAGCCTCCATTATGTTACAGCACCTAATAGTATAGTACTCAATGGCTCTTTAGACAGCTTTGAGACTATCATAGTCAATTCCTTGATACAACTTTATTCCAAAATAGGAAGGCTATCCCTTACTGAAGGACTCGGTAAAAAATGTCAATTCTTCATCCAAACAGCTTGAAATTGGTAATAGTGTAAGCTCCTGATTAAGAAGCTTACACCATTACCAACAGATTTATCATTACCATTACCAACAATCCTCTTAACACAATGTCTAACAGACAGTACAGACCTTCAGCTTTATAATCTTTGTTGACAGAAATTAAAATCTGATATACACCAATGGCTTCCTTTTTCAAGGAAGAGATCTATCTATACAGTACAGGCTTACCTGTATAGATTATACCTGTTTAATAAGACAACAAAGCACACTAAGCATACTTGAAAAAAGTGAAGTGAATGCATCAAATGCACTGGGACATCCATTAGACTATTCACACATAATAGGACAGCTCTGATGAAGATAGCCAACAAATGAAGTATCTCCAAAGAAGCAATTACCCTAAGAATGGCATTTTTCTAAGCGAAAGAGAGATATTCAACGGTTATCTTTTGAAAAAGCAAATTCTAGTAATTGTATAGATATCTTTAGTTAATCTCTAACCTCAAAAATTTTTACATTTCTGCTTCAGTTAAATTAAACTAATTAAAATATTATTTAAATTAATAATAAAATATACCTTAATATGTGATCATCTTGTAACTGTTTATCTTCATCTTCATAAATAACTTTACTTGTAGTAGTAGTCACAACAACACCATCAATAACAAATTTTCTTGTTCTTGTTAATGTTTTTTGTCTAGTTGAGTTTGTACTAGAAACACCATTAACTTTCTTTGACAAGTTTGAAGTCCTGTTGTTTTGTTCCTGAAAATAAATTTTAAGTAAACATATAATTTTCTTCATAATTGTGAAGGTCCGAAACCCTTTTTCTGTTTTAGATCAGTACAAATCTAGGAATTTTCCTAGTAAAAGAGAAAAGGGGGACTTCTACGGTCAATGACCGATACGCTCTCCTCGAACAAGAAAAAAACGGAGAATGTTAAAATATCTATAAGAAAAATCATCTCTATTTGTTTAACAGTATTCAATAGACGTTAGTATCAACAAGAAGGGAATAAGAGATATTTCTTATCACCTCTTGGTTGCACGTAACACGTGGTTATGCCAATAAATCGCCTTGTTCATAGTCAAACTCGACGTTTGATATAAACAATAACTAAATAGTTGACCAGGTTAAAGAAATTATTGTCAAATGATTGTTAATTTATGGATGAGAGCCATCAAACCTATAGAAATTTATATCATAAAATCATATCATTTTGACACCAATAACAATAAATTAAACAAACTTCGCTGAGTCATTTGTCCGAACTAGTTAGATCCAAATATCAACACACTAGCAGGTGTGCGGATAAATCATGAATAACGTCATAGTTCTCACCCCCTCGAAATCAGTATAAAGAGGGCTCCCGGCCAGTATCGGGGTGGCCTCCAACTTAGAAGGAACTAACGGATTAACGATCCTCATCGCTGACCGCTAAAGACGGACGACACAGTTAGATCCTACAAACTACAACTTAGTAAGTAGAACTCTCTCTTTCCTCTCAGGTGGACTAGGGCTAATTCCGCGAAAAGAATATTAAAGAGGATCAGAGACTATCCTCAGTCGAAATACCCAAGATATAATCCGACTAACCTACTATTGTAATATCGGTTTGATTTTGACATTATTATTATTCTTAGTATTTGTAACCCTTTTATATGGTATATACTAATTAAATTTATATTATATCTTAATCATGCGTGTTTACTCGTACTCGGTCAACACCTTATCGACTTATCCGCGACCTCCCACTCGATTTTCGCCCTCCTAAATTGCCATCCACTGACCCTGTGAGCGGGACTCACCGCCCCGTTGTCGGAAAACGGTTCAAGCTTTGATGCTTAAACCCCGATTCTCACATAATTTATCATTAAAACCAAGTGAATTTTAACATAAAATTTTAATAATGTACTCTATGCTAATACTAATGAATACTTTGTTTTCAAAATGAAACTTAAACTAAAATAATAATTAGAAAACTTAATTAATTAAAAAAAGTATTATTTGGAACTTACAACTTACAAAATTCTCTCAATTTTAGTTTTGAAAATCTTATAAATACATTTAATAAAACTATTAAAATAGCATGATTACATAAATTAACATTCAGCTACATAATTTCATAAATTTTTTATAATGGTTAATTTATATAAATAATGTTCATAAAATTATTTCATTGTAATAAATGTATCATCAATACATTAATCAAATTATATACAGAATCTATTGCATTTACCCAAATGTAGAGTATACCCAAATTTAAATCCTTTTTCCAAGAGGAAAAATAAATAAATACTTGAACATCAAATTTCCTTGATACTGGAAAAAAAATCTACAATGTTTTCTGCATAAAACAAAACTTGTTGTTTAGAAGATTATATGATGCTAGCTTTAAGTTCCTTAGGCATTTGAAAAATGTTTGCCTTCCAATTCATAGCATGTCTTTTATGATTTATGTGAATGTCTTTGATAAAACTTAAATCAGTAATCATTTCAATGAATGAAAGAAATAATCATTCTCTTGGATTCTTCCAACAGGTTGCAGAACATTTATCCCAACACAACAGACTAAAGTGATGACCTCTGTCATCTAGTGATAAACATACAAACAAAACTTTTTAATTAAATATTTATATTTTTGAAATTAAACTATTTAATGTATTTTATTCCATGTTAAAGTGTTAACATTGTTTAGTACAGGATGATTTATTTGGGACTTATCATTTACTTTAATCAATAAGTCACAATTGGTCATGCCTTTATCAGCTGCTTTATCATGAAATATATAAATTGTCTGTGTTTCATGCTCATTTTTTCATTTTATACAGAGATATTCTACATAATTAAGTGTTCAGCCCCTGAATCACCCTGTATAGCATTATTTTATGCCTTAATATACAATACTGATATTCATAACACCAAATACAGTGCAAAAAAATTGTGTATTTTCTCAAATAATATATTCTTAGAAACTTTATGATTTATTTTAATACCTGTCTGGGTGATGTTTTTATTCATTAGCTCATAGGCAAAAAAAAAATTTTTTAATGTGTTAAAGTTAAATATAAAAAAATTCATAAAGTTCTCAAAATGATTTGCAGCATTGTCATCTTCTACGTTGGTTCAAAATCATTCTCTCTCTTTTCTCAATTGAACATATAAATGCTTCTGAAATGAATAACTGTATAAATATATATCAAATAACAAAACTTAGTGAGTACAGTGGAACTTCTATATTCATCACATTCTGATGACTCCTCTCCATATTCGTCATCATTCCCAACACCGGCAGTGGCACTACAATTGCACACTCACGCCAACCAGCTAGCTGTGTTAGCTTAGTGTTGCCAATTTAGCTAATTTTTTGCTAGATTTAGTGGATTTATGAACAATCTAGCTATGCATATTACCTAAATTATAATGGCCTAGCTATTTTTATAATGCTATCTAGCTATAATTTTATTTAATGGAAACAATATGATTTGAATATTTTTATTAAAATGTCTAGCTATAAATTTAAATTTTGAGTTGGCAACACTATGTCAGCTAGCTGTAGTTAATCAGTCTGCTTTGTGCTGTCATGGTGTGTGTTCTTGGTTTCTTGTGTTAATTATTTTCAAAACTCAAGTTCCAATGGCTCCAACAAAGCAACTGCAGAAAAACAGCAAAAAAAGGAAAGCTGTTAGAACAACAATAGAGATAAAAAATTATTTCTAAGTCTGGAAATGGACAAAGTAGAGAGGATGCGGCCGAAGTTTTCATCTCTAAAACATGAATGTCGAACATTGAATGCCACCAACTTGTAAGCCTAGAAGTTTAACAATGGCATTCAGAATGTCATTAGAATAATGCTCGATATTCCAAATGCCATTATCAAACTTCTAGGCTTACAAGATAGCGGCGCTCAACGTTCGGCGTTCATGTTTTAGAGATGAAAACTTCAGCCGCAACCTACCTCTCTAGTGTTTCCAACTTAGCCAAAGAATTTAATATGCCAAGATCATAATTGGAATTACCTAATGTTTTAATTGATGATATGTCTTCTTCCACACAATAATAACCTTACTCGTCTTCCCCTTCTACCACTATACTGTATTTATTTAGTACAGTAGAGCCTCGAAAACTCAGCCTAATGTGGACCGAAGAGTGGCCGAGTTTGTGAAAATGCCGGGTTATCGGGAATGGGGTTAAAAAAGGATAAGTATGCGTGTTTCCTCAGAAAATATTGTACTGTACTTGTATGTATTGTTTGCTTGAGAATACAACAGAGAATAAACTGCCCAAATACCCTTAAACAAAGTAAAAGTACATCCTTTATGAAGGCATAGAACCTTTACTACATGAAAATGAAAATTAATGAATACACTGTGTACAGTAATTTACTTGAGAAGACAGACCTCAGAAAAATACTCTATGAGGCATAAAGTTGTCTATGATGAAAATTAATTATCTAAGCGTATTTTTGCCCTGCCAGGGTGTGGCCGAGTTATCCGGAGTGCTGGGTTATCGAGTGCCGTGTTTTCAAGGCTCTATTGTACAATAAAGATAAAGTTTAACAAACAACAAAATTTTTATTCTTGTATCTTTTTTTAGGATGAGAACAGATTAACTAAGTGTCAGTTATTTATTATGAGAAAAATTGTTTCTATATTCGTCATTTTCCATATTCGTTAGATCCTTAGGAACAGATTAATGACGAATATAGAGGTTCTACTGTACTTTTAAATTAAATATTAATTCTGTTTCAACAACAATGCCTGAAAAGGGATTGTTAACTATTAATGCTGAATGAGAATAAAATAAAACTATTGAACACTGGTTTGCACCGACCAAAGGCCAACATGAAGTTTCCCACGTTATTTCTCGTCTAACATCTAAATAAAGGCTAGTTTCTCATGAGTCCCAGGAAGCATCAGATTGGCAGATTGCCCATGTATTGTGCCATGTTATTCCATCAATCTAATCCAAAAAAATAAAAATGAACTCTCATAAAAACTGAAGAGAACCACAAGAACTTTATATTTGTGACAAACCCGGGCAAAAATATGAATTTCTCATTAAAAAATGGCAAGTGTAAGATTTTGATTGATGTGAACATAAAGATATGTAAACAGATTTGCCTAATTTTGAAAAAAGATCAGATCTGAACTTCTCATATATAAATTCCTGCTATAAGTAATGTTCTTTAGTATTCATTATGGTTTCTGAATAAAAAAATTCAGCTATTACAAATTTACTTAGATTGCATTTGTAAAAGATTTGAAAGTCACTAATGAAAGTGATAAACTAGGAACAATGCATTTGTCTTTTCAGATTCAACAGCTACATATATGTGAGAATGCGAGAGTAGAGAGCAAATTTATTCAAAATTTATTATTCATTTTATTTATCACATTCTTAGATTTGTACACTTAATTAAAAATTTCCAATGTAATATTTTAGCTATAAAATAGACCAAAAATCATCATTTTGTGTGGGAAAGGGAAGTAGATCTTCCCTCAGAAAGTTCTTATCGCAATTATTTGACAAATATCTGTCTTTGCGTCAGATTTATGTCCTGCCAGATGATCAGAATCCTAAAATCTGATTGGAGGAAACTTAGAATAAAAGGGGAAAAATGCATGAGTTCCAGGCAGCAGTCAATGAGAAGAACCTGCCATAATACACACAGTCCATGAGAATAAGATGATGCCATAGAAGAAGGCATTCCTCCACAACATGAAGATGTCATTAATTAAAGGCAGTTCATGACCAATTCGAACCTGCCATGTTACTGCAATCCATGACCAGAAAAAACCTGCCATAATAATTAGAAGAAGATAGTCCCACTCTGACTCTCCAATATTCATCTCGCATTCTCCAAGTTTGATTGACAGAGGTATTATCATTATTTTTAATTGATTGTAAACTCACTCTCTCACTTAGGTGTATCCTAGATAGACTTTATTTACAATAGATTATATTATGTATCTCGACTTATGTATCTCTCTGTTTTATTTCATTCATTAAATTCTTTTTGTTATTTGTTAACCTGTCTGATTCCCTCTGTTAGTTAAGTATGGACATTTACCTCGCTGTGATTAGAACTTATCCATGACTCCTCCCCACTCGATAGAATAATATCCCTCCTAAAAGCCATCCAGTGACTCAGTGAACAGGTCTTAACATCCCGACAACAAGAGAGTTTTACACCTGACATATTCTCACACATATATATATATTGATTCATTTATAGTAATTTTCATTGTTATATCAAAAATCTTTTTATCAAATGCACAACTTCATATATTAGTTAATTTTTACCTAGTTAATTACCTATAATTTTTACTATTGAAATTACTAGAAAAATATCTTCTTTTGAGATTCTGATCATTAAATAATTAAAATAAAATTTTATATCTAATGCTATATCTGGACAAACTTACTTTATTGTAGTGTGGAAAACACCTTTCATGAGATAAAATGTAAGCAATGGATCAACAAACTATCATTCAAGCAGAGAAAAAATATATACCNTATAGCCAAAATAATTAAATATTTAATAGACAATACTAATCACTTTGCATCAGCAGAGTTAAACAACATAGACAGGTCAAGAGAATAAACTTCACAATTTGTGACTTACTAAAACAATTTTGAAATATTAATAATTATGTATGACTAATAAAAAGCTTTAGTTAAAATGAGCAAGAATTGGTTCACTGAAATAAAAAAATTAAAAAATGTTAAATAATTAATATCAGAACTAATGAAAATATTTTAGTATTCTATTGTTGAGTTTTATTTATTTATTTTAATAGGAAGAATCTGATTAGACTAAAGATTTCGACCCCTGTGAAAATAGAACCCATAACAAATTTACAAACAGTATTTAAGAGATTAAAAAAATAAAGTGGATATAAAAACATTTAATAGAACAATCCAAAATTTAATAGTAATGAACAAAATTATGTGAATTTATTGTCTATTCTACTTAGTTAAGTAATCGAAACATTCTAACTTATATAATTAACAATATAAAAAAATATTACAAGAATATATACCCTTTGATGAAGCATTTTCTTTTTTACTCTGCTCCATATCATGGAATATAGTGAATATCTCATGAGAAACATGCTACAAATATGAAGTCAGTAATCATATCTTTTTCTATGCATTTTTATGGATTGAATCACTACTCAAATAAGTGGAAACTCAACAGATTATCTATAAAAACCTATAGAAGTAACTCATATCTATTCTTTTATATATATAATAACAATAATTTCTTAAACACAAAACATTCATACCAAATGATAAGTAAACACTGTAAAATAGTGAAAATACAATTACAAATATAGTAATTAATCAATTTAACTCAGAGCTTGTCACTTGGCTGCTAGATCAAAATGCCACCACCATGTTTCATCATCAGCAATGATTTGAGTCAAAAAGTCTGTCCCTGCTCATTATATGTGAGATACTGCTGGGAGATCCCTATAACAATGATTTTTGTTGTTCTGTCAGGTACTTCAGAATTCATTGTGTTACACTTTCCAGTACTTCAATTCTTTATGAAGGAAGTGTGAAATAGACCTGACATGCATGTTGGTTTTCTGTGTAAGCTCATGAATGGTTTAATGACAATTTTCCTTAACTAATCTCTCTCTACTACTGCAATGTTTTCCTCTTTGATCACAATATTTATCTAAAGAGGTACTCCTTGCTTACCCTTCCTGCCCAAACTTGGCATACCACTTCAACAATATTCTGCAACTGAAACAGGAATCTTTGTAAACTCTTTTCATGCAATGAAAGATTTTGACTGATGCAATGCTCATGACATACTACAGATACTTCCAAATAAATGCATGGAATAACAACCTGATCTACAAAAGCTATGCAGTGTGCAAACTGACCACGTTGCTTAGTGTTTCTGCATGTCTCAGCATGTATACTGCTGCCAGCTACCATCCACCTGATCAAATATTAACAATGCTATCAGCATTTCATTTGAATAACCCTTATATATGTGAATTTCAATAAAATCATTTTATCAATTTTAATTATCTAAATTATTGTAATGAACTATTTGTTATATCATGCCTTTTTATATGGCTACCCTTCACCAAGAAAATATGCATATAAATACTACCTGTAGCTTGTCAATTTTGAGTACAAAAGCTAACAAGAGAAGAGAGAAACATTTATAAAATTCTAGTAATCACAAAATATGTTATTAATATTTAACAAAAATATATTTTGTTTATTAATATAGCCTGCAATATTAAGAAATTTTATTGCCTGTTTATGATTTATGCTTGCAATATTTGATTGTATTAAATATTGCAAGCATAAAGCATAAGTGTTATATTATTCACATGCATTATTAAAAGGAAAAATGTAGAAAAATGTATTTCTTTGATAAACACTAAAATATTTACCTACTTCTTAATTTCTGTTGTAAAGAATATGTTAAGTTAAATATTGAATTTATATTTAATCTGAACCTACACTTTATTACTAAATTTTTGTCATTATATATTAAAATTTATACAAACCTTTTCTTTTTTCTTCCTGTATATAATCTCTGGTTCTTCTTTATTTCTGTTTTCTTTATCACTACTATTCCTACTTCCCATACTATCAAGAGTTGAAACACTTTCTGTATCGCTTGTTTGTTTTTTAACTTTGATACTTTTAGCATTTTCTGATAATGGACTGTACACAAGTTCATTTCCTGAGGAAGCATTACTAGTTTCACTAATAGAGCTTGGAGAATGTACAGAAGAAACAACAGAATTATCTTTCTTTAAATTAAGATTTACTTTAATTTTTGGCTTTTCTTCTGATGATGCACTAGATGAAGTCTTTATTGAAATTCTATCTTGTCCAAAATTATCATCATATATTTTATCTTCTTTAACTTTATCCTCAATAAAAGTTTCATTAGTACACGCACTTTTACGTTCCCACTGCTCACAATATGGTGTTCTCACAACAATTACATCATTAGTTTCCAAACTATTGGAACTTTTCTCAATTTCTACACTATTAGAAATTATTGGTGAATTGTCTAAATGTCTTGATGAATCTTTTACTTCTTCCACATCACCAATGGTAACAATAGAAACGTGTGCAGATTCCTGAGTTGTATCTTTGTTTGAATTTGATCTTTCATCACTAGAGTCTAAAATACTATGACTTGAAGAAACAGTAACTTCACCATCACTGGCTTTCCAGTTAGTTTGTTCTTTTCTGAAAAAGTAACATGAATAACATTTAAAATCTTTTTCAGAAGTAAGATTCAATTAGTAAAAGTGATAAATTCTGCATTATTAAAATCTGAAATTATAAAAGATTTATGAAATAAAATAAAAAACTAAATTCTTTGAGATACATTTTAAAATAAAAATCTTTTTGTAATATATATTTTTTGTCTACTAGTATGTATTTTCTATTATCAGCACTTATTAGACTGGCTTTACAGATACTGCAACAGTTTTGAGATTCTGATCATTAAATAATTAAAATAAAATTTTATATCTAATGCTATATCTGGACAAACTTACTTTATTGTAGTGTGGAAAACACCTTTCATGAGATAAAATGTAAGCAATGGATCAACAAACTATCATTCAAGCAGAGAAAAAATATATACCCTTTCCCAAAGCATTTTCTTTTTTACTCTGCTCCATATCATGGAATATAGTGAATATCTCATGAGAAACATGCTACAAATATGAAGTCAGTAATCATATCTTTTTCTATGCATTTTTATGGATTGAATCACTACTCAAATAAGTGGAAACTCAACAGATTATCTATAAAAACCTATAGAAGTAACTCATATCTATTCTTTTATATATATAATAACAATAATTTCTTAAACACAAAACATTCATACCAAATGATAAGTAAACACTGTAAAATAGTGAAAATACAATTACAAATATAGTAATTAATCAATTTAACTCAGAGCTTGTCACTTGGCTGCTAGATCAAAATGCCACCACCATGTTTCATCATCAGCAATGATTTGAGTCAAAAAGTCTGTCCCTGCTCATTATATGTGAGATACTGCTGGGAGATCCCTATAACAATGATTTTTGTTGTTCTGTCAGGTACTTCAGAATTCATTGTGTTACACTTTCCAGTACTTCAATTCTTTATGAAGGAAGTATGAAATAGACCTGACATGCATGTTGGTTTTCTGTGTAAGCTCATGAATGGTTTAATGACAATTTTCCTTAACTAATCTCTCTCTACTACTGCAATGTTTTCCTCTTTGATCACAATATTTATCTAAAGAGGTACTCCTTGCTTACCCTTCCTGCCCAAACTTGGCATACCACTTCAACAATATTCTGCAACTGAAACAGGAATCTTTGTAAACTCTTTTCATGCAATGAAAGATTTTGACTGATGCAATGCTCATGACATACTACAGATACTTCCAAATAAATGCATGGAATAACAACCTGATCTACAAAAGCTATGCAGTGTGCAAACTGACCACGTTGCTTAGTGNTAAAAAAAACTTTTACAATAGTAAAATAGTCAAGAAAAATTAAAACTTTCATCAAATTAATTAAAAAATTGATTATACAGATGGTGATCAGTTAAAAAACATAATCTGTTCCAAGACTTTGTTCATTATCTGAATTGTTCGTTAACCGATTATCGATTTACCATAGTTTTTTATGGAAATTGATTGATTAATTTGTTCCAGAGACTCCAAAAAATAAATAAATGAATACTTTTTTCACTACGTTTATTTATACGTAATAGTAAAAATACATATATATGCAGTCTTGCATTTTTATTAGTCGTGTTTTCCGTTTGTGGGGGTTAAAGAATCTGTCCAATGTCAATTGCTTTTCTCTTTTCTTCAGGACTTTTTGGAAGTAATTAATAGTATTGTAATTGTAGAGATCCCCAACCCTATTAACCTTATTCTGGTTTGGATGCCACTTGAATGATCGTTGTTCTGACATCCTCCCACTTCTTCAAAAGATCTTTAGTAGCAGATGTCAACATTGGTCCTCTTTCATCTCCCTCTTTTTCAAAAGAAAACACATCTCGCTGAGTTTCTTGGTATTCTTCATTTGAGAGTTCTTGGAGTTATTCTGTTATCAGATCAGTTTCAGGTTCCATTATGAACTCTAAAATGCTCTTTATTTCTCAGATGTGATTTTCATTACTTCATTAGCAGCTTGAGACTTCTTGATATATCTTTCATAGCCAAGATTGTGCCTACTGTAGACTTGTTCAAGCCATACAGCCTAGCAACATCAGACATCTTGTGCCCACTTTCTACATTGGCTATTATCTCTTACTTGGTTTCTATGGTGAGCACATTTCTTGACACTCCTCTTTTTAGGCTCCATAATATTATCAGTTTCTTTTTTAAATAAATAGTTCAGAAAAGCACTTACAAAAATTCAGAGAACAGAAATCAACTAACCCACAAAAAATTATTTAAATGAAAGGCCCGGATGAAATTCGAAATTTGGTATTAAAATGTTAACAAATATCCAATGGGACAGTTAAACTATCACCTTTCGTAAATAAACCCGACACAAAACTTAACAAGTGCCCATCCGACAGTCTCATGAATACTATAAAAAATTATTTGTCAGAAAGGTAAACAAATAGCTGGAATTACAAGGGATAGTTTCAAAATTCGGAGGAATATTAATACTAATTGATTGGTATTGGGTTGAGCATCAATGTTGACATCTCCCACGCTCCAAAAGGTTTCAAATTGATACCTGAAGACAAGGAAAATCAATTGGTATTCGTTATTTTCCGTTGATTCTTTTTATGTTTGTTCAGTAAAGTGTTCATTATCTGAACATGTGTTCGGTGTCTAATCATAAAAATCTTTCATGAAAGTGTTTGTTATCCAATTTGTTCGGTGTCTAATCATAAAAATCTTTCATGAAAGTGTTTGTTATCCAATTTGTTCGCTATCCGAACTGTTCATTAAACGATCACTCACTGTATTACATAAAATATTGTTTAAAGAGTTACCATTTATTACAATGCTCTAGAAATTTTTACATTTGTAATAATTTTTCAATTAATTTTAAATAGTTTTGATAATAAAGAAAAATAAAACTAAAAGAAGATTTTTAAAATAAAAAAAATAATAAAATTTAAATAAATGCTAAAATTTCTCACATACACTTTAAGTCATACAAAAAAACATTATTATATTTTATTTGACTTGTGTTACATTATTATTTAAATAATCTAATATTAACTTACACAAAACTAGTACAGTACATATCTTTAGTTTATGTATTTTATAATATAAAATATTTCATAAATAGTATATAAAATATATAAACTAAAAGATACAAAACTGTAAATCAAAGAAAAAATTTATGATTATACTAACCTAGTTTGTGGTGAAATTTTATTTTGTTGTTTAACATGCAAATTAACAGCTTCAGGAATGTTATCGTTTAATTCTATTTCAGATGCAATATCTTCATGTTGTATTGAATAACCTGGAAAAAATTCTCAAATATATATTTATATTTAAGACATTTTTGGATTTTAATCAAACAAGAGAAAACCTAAATATGAAAATATATTGTCAAATTGTACTAAGTGATAGAACAATTAATAATGGGAAGTTTTACATATGATCAAAACTTTCAGTTTTATGTATAAGACTCTTATCATTATTATGAATCTACATTTTGCAAAATTTTTTAGCCATTAATTAAAAAATATCATCATTAAATGAAATCTAATTGAAAACAGAAGTTATAACATTTTTACCAGTCACCAGTTACCAGTCATTTTTACCAGCCATTTAAATGGCCAATTTAATTCTAAGATTTCTAATTTAATTTCTTTTTCAGATAAAAAGTATAAAAACAATTTTTAAAATTTAGACATAGTAATGTGTGATGTGTGTATAATGAATGCTGAATGATTTGAGCATTAAGTACAATTTTTATCACAATTCATTTAATAAGAAATTGTAATATTACAAATTCCAAAATAAATAAAAAGTGAAAGATTAAATACAAATTATCAAATAATTTATTAATATATAATTATGTTATCAAAGAGTTTTTTAAAAAAAAATTATTTTTATGCAAAATTTTAATAACTACCACACAAGTAATTACAAAATACAGTAAAACCTCAATTTAACAAACTGAATTTAACTTGTCATATGTGAAAATTAACAGCCTATTAATTTTAAAATGCTTTTTGTATTTTTTTCAAATCTAAGAGTAAGTGCTCTTAACTTTGCATCACAGGAAGTGTCTCCATATATCATCATTCAACAACAAACAAATAGGAAATTTTTCTGGGGATTTTGTCAAATTTAAATTTTGTTTTCTTTTTAAGAACATTTATTTGTTTAGTTAAATATAATGAAAGTATTTTTCAAAAAAATATTTATTTTGATTTATAACATACACAATACAGAAAACTTTTCTGTGAAATTAAACTTCTCATACATACATAATTTTAATTAAACAAGCATATTTACACAAGTAAAAAGAGATAAACTAACTAATTTGTCAATTTTTTAACATTTACATTCAGAAAACCTACTTTATTATATAATGAACTTTCAGCTTTAATAGACACCACCTCACCAAAATTAGTCCATTAAACTGAGACTTTACTGTATACTGTTTTATTGATGAAAGAAGGAAAATCTTATGTTAGATAAATACAGATTTTGTTATAAAAAACTACTTAGTTACTTATGACTAATGAACAGGCTTATTACACACCCAGTCTATTTAATTAACTTAACCAAAATGCATTTTGGGCCTTACTGATCCTTATCAATTGGATGACATACAAAAAACAAAATATATGGTGACAATTTCCAACATTAATTAATTAATGAATATTGTAATGTTAAGTTAAAGTTTCATTAAAAGTTAAAATATCCTTTAAATTATTGCTAATGCTTGTTAATATCAAATTTTCATCAGTATAGCAAAGATTTTGCAAGAATTTTTATCCAGTATAGTAAAATGTGTTATACCTGACATATCAAGAAAGTTCACAATAAAAAAATTGTGAAAGACATTTGTTTCTTTCAATTATGATTTACAAATTATAAAAGAAATGGAAATCAATTATGAAAAATTTGCAAAATTTGAAAAAACACACAGGATGCTCTTACTTGCTATAAAAAAAACTTTATAATATAAAGAAAAAACAACTATCCAGTAAAAACATGATTTCTTTTTAAAGAAGCTTGTGACTGTTCCTAAACTATCAAAAATTATTGACAACAGTGCCTTCTATGAGCTGTGCTCATGAATATGAATCATGAAAAGAAAGAGAAATTGATGACTGTCACTGTAGCCTCCTTCCCAGCAACAACTTTCAGCAGTTAATTTAGTTCTATGCTTCACATTATTATTCAGGCTAGTATGCTGACTACATTAATGGTAATGTGACCAAATATGCTAGGGCTCTTTATATGGGCAGTTTCTTAAAATGAATATATGACTGATAAAAGCAACTAAGAGATGGCACAAGACAACAAAAATTAGATCATCTGGCAGTCCACTATAAAAAAGCAGGTTGCCAGTTCATTCAAACTACATTGAGGGTGAGTGCCATTGTGTTTCTGATCTTGGTTATAATTTTCAGTAAGTACACAATAAACAATTACAGAGGAACCCATTTATGTCTTTCAAGGAAACTGAGAAAAATATCATTTAAGTGAGAAAACTGTACAAGTGAAACTACTTTTGAATTATGTTCAACCAAGTCAATCTACATACTTTTTCAGCAATGAAGTAGATGCAATTTACATACTTTTAAATTGCTTTCAAACAAAATGTAATTGTCACAAAAGTACAGTAACACTATCATTAAATTTGTATGTGTAACTTTAACAAAGAAGTTTCAATGTATCAATACTATATGTACTGTATTTTATAATATCTTTGAACAACAAGTAAAATGAAAAGTAAAACAATATGAAAGTAATAATTATATCAATTATGCTTGGCTATTTTAGACAAAGTGATTAGTCTTCTGCTTAGTTGAACAGGTTTTACTGGAGGGTTCAGTGTTCATCATGCCTAATTAACACAATTAGTCAGGATCCTGGTGAGGGTGGACCTGAAAGAGAATTACAGGCCCAGCTCCATACTGTCAGCCTTCAGATCTACTAAATCCTTTAAAAAAACAATCAGGTGAAAAAGGTAATCTATTACAACGGTGGGCAACCCCCAGCCCGCGGGCCAGCTATGGCCCGTGAGATGTTTAGAAGAAATTATAAATAAATATTTTTCGATGTAATTCGTCTAGTTTAAATTGAATATTATTTTCTGAAGTGTTGCGGCAGCAATGACAAAAAAATAAGGGAGTCATTTCCTTATTAAAACAAAAAAATGGGAGAACAGAATTTTTCTAAATTATTTATATCTCATCGCATCATCCATCAAGAAAATCTATGTGCAAAAGCTATGCAATTAGAAAATGTAATGTCTGTCGTATCCAACTACATAGTGCTGTTTTTATTGTGTTTAAAATCACTAAGATTTTACAAATAGGTGAGCCGTTCACAGCCCGGCACACACATTTGTAAAATCTAAGTGACTCATACAACATGAAATTCATATAAAACGGAATAATCAACAGTGTTATAGGGGGGGTCGACTGTAGTAATTAATTTCTTTTTATTTATTTATTTCACATTTGCAGACTAAAAATTTACAGGTCACAAGGTGTCAATTAACTACTATGGCCCGCGGAAAAAACGTAAAATTTATTCTGGCCCATGTTATGAAAAAGGTTGCCCACCCTTGATCTATTATGCCTGAATGTAATCATGTTCTACTAGACATATCTCTGTGTTCACAATGTATACTTTGTAAATATCTGTAAATAAAAGACTGAAACTGAAAGTTTGGAGTCATAAAGTGTCCTTTCTGATGATACACATTGAACAAGAAGAGGAAGACATCAGGACCACTCTTAAATTCACTATATACTTTTAAACTGATCAAGTTTTGTTCGTTTATTTTTTCAATGGACTTGTCATACTGTACCTATCTCTTTCTGCCAAAACTCTAATCATGTGAAAGAATAAAGAATCATTCTAAATGTTAAGTCAAATTGACAGCAAATAATGGGAATTAATGAAAAACCATAAAGCAATTTTTATTTGCTTAGGAAAATTGGTTCACACTATAAAACATGGAAAATTAAAATTTTCAACATGTTGGACTGACAGAGGAATTTGCTAAACAGCAAGACTTGTCAGAAATGGTATCATTTGTTATGTTCATATTTATCACACATTTTGTTCAGCAGATATTACAGTAGACCCCCCAAAACACTGTTGACAATTCCGTTTCATATAAATTCCATGTTGTACGAGTCACTTAGTTTTTACAAATATGTGAGCCATTCACAGCCTGGCACACGTATTTGTAAAATCTAAGTGACTCGTACAACATGGAATTCATATAAAATGGAATTATCAACAGTGTTATAGGGGGGATCTACTGTATATACTGTATATAATGTAAAATTGCTTATATAAAATTAATATCTTAATTAATTTATTGAAAATATTTACTTGACACAACAACAACTTCACCCGCTTGAATTGGACTGGAAACTGGAGTTGAAGTTGTACTTGATATTGGTGGAGGTGATATTGCAAGTTGTTCTTTTTCTGAATGAATTTTTAAATTGCTGTAAAGAAAACTATAAATAATGAATTTTTTAAACTTCAAAAATATCTTTACATAAATATATATTCAAATCTACTAAATTTAAAAAATAATTACTACTTAGAATTATTATAATCTACAAACATTTATAATAAATTGAATTTGCAAAGTCCTGTGTTAGAAATAGCTATAGATCATACTAATTTCTCTAAAAATAATGAAAAATTTCATCAACAATAAATATAAATAAAACTCTTAGTAAATATTTTTGCTTTTTCCATTTATCGTTTGGGACAATTTATAGAAACAGGGCTTAAAAACTTAAACAATAAACTATAATATATACCCCAAAATAAAATTTTTTACATCTATAACAAAATTAAGATTGACTAAACTGTTTTGTATTTGGATTATGTATTCTATCCAAAATTCTATCATGTTAGGCCAGGAACACACATGCGTAAAATCTAATATAAAACAGAAAGCATAAAAATTTTTCTGAAATATTGGCTGAAAAATAACTGAAAAAAGAGTAGAGGATGTCTCTACTTTTTATGCACATAAAATTTTTATACCAAAATTCCTTCAAGAGAAGTCTTTTTTGTGACGTCATGTGTTTACTTTAAAGTTGTATATCAGTTTCTTTTAACAAAATCTTGATTTTGATTTGAGTACTATCAACTTTTCTTGATCAATCTGTATATGATCATAGAGTTTGCAAATATCTACAATTATTCACAAAATTTGAAGTAACAATAAATGTCTTCATATTTTGTCCTTTTCAACACCTCAGAAATACATCATCTTTAGGGCAGATTCAACCTTTTATTTGAGACTACTCATCTACCTAGATATGCAAAAACATTAAAAATTCCAGGGTGATGGCCTTGGAATTTTTAACATTTTTGCATCTAAAGAATCCTGCAAGTAAGATAAATCTAAATTTATCTTTCTTGCAAGATTTTTTAGATGCAAAAAGTTCTTATTAAGACAATTAAAAATATTATAAAAAAATTTAAATACTTTTGCTTTTCTACATCAGATTTTAAATATCTTTATGTTAAAAACAAGTAAAGAGAAATCCAAATTTCTTCATTTTTCATATTTTCTTCAATTTTATAACAGTTGGAGAGAAGATAAAATATTTATATTTGCCTCAGAAAACCAAAATAAAATACCATTATTAATATATTTATCTCTAAAAATTAAGAAAATAATCCTGATTTAAGAAAAAATATTCATTTCATATGGTCTCTTCAAAGTATCAGCAGTTAAATCATATTTTCCAAAAGATATTTTGTGAATTACATATAATCAAATTTAAGTTATTCTTAACAAACTATTTACTAGGACAAAAAGTAATATATTTTAAACAAAAATTAAAATTTATGCCATTTCATACACTTGAAGAAACATTAAAACTGATTTTTGCAAGTTTAATGTAGTTTTAAAAAACTGACATACAATATTTGTAAAAATATCTAAACACTATCACATACGTTGTCAATTACATAACATAATGCACTATTATAGTCACTTAATCATTCAAAGCATAGGAAAATTAGTTCAAATTTAATTACTTATTTTATCATTTAATTATTATTCACTATGTCATTACTTTCATAATGTTCAATTTTATATTCAGAACATTATATTTGTATTTATACAGTTAAAATATTTAATCTTTTAAACTGCAAATTTATCTTGAAAATTTTATTACATAACAAAATATTTTGTTTAACAACTTCCTAATATATCCTAATATACAAATAATCAAAGTTTAATAATTTATTGAATTGTCTTTCATATATGAAAATTATTAATTACTGATTTTTTAATTCAAAATTGTAATTGACATTTCTCAACACTAAATACATATACAATTTTGCAACTCACAATATACTGAGATGCATAAGACTACAATTTCAATTAGAAATATGAAAAAGAATTCTCTTTACTCAAAATTCAGAATACAGCTATTTTACAATAATAAAAAAGTAATTTTAAATTACCTGTTTAAAATAACATTTTGAGAGTAATTTGCTTCTTCTAATGATTCATTTGTAAGTTGCTTTTCATTATCTATCACTTTATCAGACAAATTATTATTAAATGATACTTTAGCTTCTTCTTTACGATCATCTACATGATTCCCTGAGGACTCTTTTGCTCGACTAGGAGGAGGTAATGGTGCTTTTGATTTCTTTTCTGCAACATTGAAATAGTAGTATTTATTTACATTTTTTTTAAATAGTTAAAAATGTATTATTTTTAAATCTTATGCTTTTATAACATAATATTCAGAGAATAATAAAATATAAATTAAACATAATATAATACATATAAGTTAAATAAAAACTTAATGTAAATAATTAGCATTAAAGTAATTCTTATTGTTTGTGTAAATTTTATTTGCAGTTAAATTATATATAGTCAAACTCCACTATTTTATTATTGGTTTATGCAAAGACCATATCATATGAAGTAATTTGCAATCCTGAGGACAAAGATAGGTATTTCAGTGTTAATGAGTTTGGTTAATATGGAATATTGATTAATATGTCATATAAAATGTGTCAAAGTCCTGTAAACTTAATCAGAACTGAATTGATTTATGCAAAAACCTCACACGACCAAATTTCCAATTTTTCAGGAAGCTCAATGTTTTATAAATTACTCAACAAACTCAGGCAAACTTTAATGCCCTCATCAAATATTACAACTGTCAAACATTATTCAGATAAATATGGAGATATTATGAAAATATAGAGAAAAGAACATTTTACTACATTATTCAAGAAAAAAGTGAAAACTGGTCATTTTGGACATGTGCTGTTTTTGTATATATGGATTCAATTATATTATGTTGTTTAATACAAATCACACTGATTACAGTTTCTCCAAAATCATAAGAGCTACATTACAACCACGAGAACTTTTTCAACTTTAATGTTGGTCATAATACATATGATGTCAACTTTTTTGCTGTTATTTACAGTGCAGACATATGCCACACCAATGATTATAGTTTCTCTTATAAGCATTGTATTCTGACAACATTGAATGATTAATTAAGACCAGGGATGTCCAACCCACAGCCCATTTAATATTTTTATGCAGCCCACTGCACCCTAAATTTTTTAAGGTACATTTTCATTTATTTTGGTAAAGTTTGCCGTAAAACTTATTTTCGTTTCACTAGATACATTTTGATGTCATAACGATGTATTGGTGTCAGAAACTGTTTTATTTAGAAAACTGTTATGTATGTGGAGTAGTGTATACTGTTATAAACAGTTCTTTTCATCCATTAAAAACATCAAAACTGTTGAAAGAAATAGGTTGAATGATTCCCATTTAATTAATGTTTTTAGAATTAAGACTAGTATCATTAAAGCAGATATTGACAATATTATATAATTCGATGTCAAAAATTGCATTGAATTTGTTTTTATTTTGTGTGAGTATAATTTCTTTTTTTACTGTCAGTAATACAATATTTTTTTGTAATAATACATATTTGTTATTAAAATTTGATATTCACATTTCGCACTTTTTAAAAGTGTATATTTATATAAAGTACCTTCGTGGCCCACTAAATATATGTAAATTTCAAATTTGGCCCATTAGGAAAAAAGGTTGGACAATCCTGGTTAAGACAGTTGACATGTGCATTGGAAATAAAGTTTTTTTTTTTTTAACTCTTTCCAACCTATGGATACTAAGATGGTCTTGTTTAGCAATTCCATTATGGATTTTGGCCAGGTGCACAATTGGGCAGCCAGATAGTGAGAATCAGAGCTCAACCTATCTAGAATAGTCCATCCTCAAAATATTCCTGGGTTTTCAAATCCACCATATTCATTTCCAATTCCCCACAGCAGCATGCTAACAATAACCTGTCATCCAATCATCAAATTTTTTTAATATTAAAAACAAACTGTTTCCATTATCCAACAATGAATTATTTTTAAATTTGTAGTTTTATGCATATCTAGCTCAGATTTATTGGCAGCTAGGTCAGCCTGTTATATCCAGTAGTTTTAATTGTGATTCTACCAATTCTAACCCATGTCAAAAAATGAGCATTGATTCTTTCTTCAAGCCACTATATCTCAACAATGCTTTTGTTTGGAGCAACACATGTTTAAAAATAGACAACAAAACTTAGTGAAATAACAGGGAGAAAATTTAGCTTTTGCCATTTGATAGTATGACTTAATTTTTGTAAAGTTTGCTAAATACAAACCTTGTTAATATAAAATGCCAGTTTTTAAGTCTCTTTACGCTTTATATTACAGGGTTTGATTGAAATTATAATTATTTAATATATTTTATCTTACATATAAAATTAGATGAACACACAATAATTTCAATATTCACCAGTTATGGGGCTTTTATTAACAGCAATTTCTTCTAAAGGTTCACTAAGATTAGACAGATTATCTTCTGCTACACTTTCTACACTTAAATGAGAGGAACGACATACACTTGCTCTGTAAGTATCCTAAAGTAAAACAGTTTAAAAAATAAATATTTTCTATAAAAAGAATGCTAAACATTACATCATAATTAAAATGAAATTTGTAAATATAATTAATTAAGTCATCCTAAGTTTTCTTTTATACTATTTTAAAGCTATATACTTTACCAAATAATTACCTAATAAAATGAAGAAATAATATGCTAAAAATATTTAAACTATTAAACAAAATATTATTATTATTAGTGTAACATTTTATCATATTTAATAAGGCTAAAAATTTGATAAAATTTTAACATTATTTTAAAATATTTTCTACACATTAGTAATAGAAAAGCTGTCATGTGTGCATATGCATGAATTTCTTATAACTCTTGCAGGTTTTGTCCAATCCAGATGAAATTTTGATTATATTTGTTTTATGTTCTGATGGAAAGTGTAGGTTACTTATTTTGCAGAAATATTAGCTATAGAATAAACATTTTATTGATTTTGGATTGATGATTGCACCTATGCTACAGTGATGTCATTTGTTCATGTTTGACAATGGAACTTCTCTTAAGTTGCATTTTTAAGTATTTTGTCAAATGGTGTATTTTAAACTTACTTCATTAAATTTAAAGTTTAAACTGTAAAAAAAAAAAAGCCACTTTATGTCACTTCTATAAGAAATTTTTTTAAAAATCTTTCCATAGTGACCATGTGACATTCTACTATCCAATCAAAAGCAGCAATCTGATGAGCCCATTATTTAGAAAGTGTTATTGTTCATCTAACTAACATATAATATGTACAGTACAATTCGTCTTTTTTTTTTTTATCAATGTAGAGTTAAAAAGACTCACTATTTTGTCAAAAAAATCAAACATAAAAAAAAAATGCCTAGGGGAAAGAGTAAGAGTAAAATTGGCCTACTCTATGTTGCTTTATCCTATTCAAGAAACCAGAACAATATTGAGATGTCTATTACTAAAAGAAGAAAGCAAGGAAACCTTTTAAAAGACAGTAGTGTGTTTACTCAGAATGTAGTGTATAAAAAACTTTTGTAAAGAAAAATTTTAATACATTTTTAGTATAAAAGTCATCATCTGTTTATGTAAACGAATACTCTATAACTTCTATTTTTGTCCACTCCAGGTGAAATTTTGTTTTGTTACAACAGATAGTATAAACTATTTAATTTGTAGAAATATTAGCAACTCTTCTTGAATTTCTTGAAATCTCTACTCTTCTCATAAAAAGTATTCTGTCATGCTTGACGAGAATTTCTAGTATTAACATATTATTCAAATCAGTTTGAAGAATTTATAACAATGTATAAATATACTGTAACTGTAAATTTATATAAAACAGGTATAAATACTTTAATATATATATTTAATAAAACAGGTAATAAATAAAAATAGAAGACTGAAAAAATTATTTAAACTTATTGAATTTAAAATTATTTTGTTTTTTAAATTAATACAATTGGTAAAATGAAAGAAATAAGAACAAACATTTTGTGCTTCATCACTGTCTTCAGTTACTTCTTCTACAACTTCAGCTTTATATTCACTTATCAAATCACAAATTGATTTACGATCTACAGGTGATGACTGGAGAAAAGGATGCTACAAAGAAAAATTCATATTATACTTAAAATCATATATTGTAAACTTAACACTAAAACAGAGTCTAGCATTTAACTAATAAAAAAAAATATATAAACAAAGTTTTATTAATGTAATAACTTATATATAAATAGTATTTTTTATTGTATTCTTTTCCATAGAAAGAAAACAAGTCCATTATCAATTTAAAATATATATTATCATCATATGTAAAATTATAGCTCTCTTTACAGTTTTTAACATTTTATTTGATAAATCAAATTTATTTAATTTTTTTAAATAAAAATTACTATGGATATAAATAATGCTTGCCCAAAAGAAATATTATTTTATAAATAGTTTAAGAAACAGATAAAAAATTTTTATAAATAAATAATTAAGTAAATAAATAATAAAGATTCAAAATAAAATATTGTTTTATTTAATTCTAATTCACAATTACTTTATCACTTCCTAAAGATAAGCAGTTGAAATATACAATGATTTATTGACATTAGAACCCCAATTATCCAAAGTAATATGGACCAATGTTACCTCAAATAACATAAACTTGGATAAAATGGATAGCCCTGATTATTTCAGATTAAAAATTAAAAAATATAAGTTTTATATGGTAGCACTTTTAAGTCTCTTTTTATATCTTTAGTGAGTTTAATCACATAAATAATAATAATATTTTTTACATCATTTATTATACAGCTGATACATAAAATAGTTTAAGAAAAATTCAGCAATGAATTGCTTAACTTTCCCAGCATCAACATTTAAAACTGCATGTAGTACTATCTGTTATGATACTTTATAAAAAAACTTTTTACATAATTAATTATTATAAAATGGCAAAAAGCTTAATTTTGTGAGTAGGGATGTTTTATAAAAAATTAATGCTAAAGCCCTCAGGGACATATAGTACTAACCTTCAGAATCACGTTTGAGATAATTGAGTTTGAATGTTTGAAAAAATCCTAAAATTGTATGAGTAAGTGTGTGTTAATATTTTTGCTCTCCAAACATTGCCTGTAGATGTTGCTATCATCTCAACATTTTGGGTTTTTTCATTTTAGGATTTTTATCAAACATTCAAACTCAATTACCTCATAAACATGATTCTGAGAATTAGCACTTTAGGTCCTCAAGAGCTTCATATAAAAAAAGTAGTGTATTCACTTATAGGTAGGCCTCGGATAATACAGAACCTTGGTTAATTGGAGTTCAGATAATCAGGATTCTATTATATTATTAATTAACACTAATTTATTCAACATATAATTAAAAGTAAGAAATTCCAAAAATTTAATCTATTGTATTGCAAGCAAATAACAATTAAAATGATAAATATTTAATATTTAAAGCATTGATTGATATATAATGATAGCTGATAACAACTACAGATTATCAATCATTGGTGAGAAAAGATGGTATTTAAAAATGTCTATTTACATGAAGATAATGATAACTATAACCAAAACACTAATTATAATAAGCAGGAGTATATTTTAACTTATAAATTTTAGAACATTCTAATTCTGATAACAATGTCCATTAATAAAAAATAAACAAATTCTACTTAAAAAGTTTGAAAATAAATAAATAAAAAATAATAACTAATTTTCTTTATAAGAGAGCATCAAATAATGAGCTAATAATTGATTTATTGAAATTTTAATTATAAACTATTTTGTATTTTAGTAAGAATATTTATGAATAAGAAACTTAAATACATGATAGTATGGTACTGATATATACTATATATTACTCCATTATTTAATATTTAATTTAAAATATTACCTTTAGGAGTTCATCTGCTGTTGGTCTTTGTTGAGGATCTTTCGTCAAACAGAGATTAACAAAATTGTTGAATTCTTTAGTCCTATTAAAAATATATAATAAAATGTAAAAATAAATTTTAGATAATTGATAAATATAATTCTAATTCAAATAAATTATATATAAAAATAAACTTTTCATTATTTCACCTATACTAATATTATAAAGAGGTAAAGTTTGTAAGTTTGGATGTAGTAGATAATCTCCAAAACTACTCATCCAATTTCAAAAATTCTTTCACCAATATTTAGAATGGACCTTTATGGTGGACATAGGCTGTATATTATTACATTAAACATTCATATAAATTAAAAGATATCATCTAGGTAAGCGTTATATTTTTGGTGTCAACGGGTGGCGAGGGGCAAGACTATTGGCCTACTCTATGTTGCTTTATTCTATTCAAGAAACCAGAACAATATTGTACTTGTGAGTGGACAAAAATAGAAGTTATAGAGAATTCACTTACATACACATAAACAGATGATGACTTTTATACTAAAAATGTATTAAAATTTTTCTTTATGAAATTTTTTTATACACTACATTCTGAGTAAACACACTATTGTCTTTTAACAGGTTTCCTTGCTTTCTTCCATTAGTAATAGACATCTCAATATTGTTCTGGTTTCTTGACATATACGAGATAGATAACCGTGCAGTGAAGTCGCGTGGTCGGCGAGATATGCAGTGCACATGTCCGAACTTGTGATATATAAAATTATGTCCTGAGTGATTCATCATTGCCCAGAGCAAACTGCTGAACCTAAAGAGGTGAAATTTGGTACACAGTTACGGTATGTCGTAAAAATGCATACTAAGAAGAGATTTTTCGAAATTCCCTGTGGGGGAGAGGGAGAGGATTAACCTTTTGCCCTTGAAAGTACTGAATGATTGGTAACACCCATTGTTAAGCAAAACTTTGAAGGTACCGATTCATTGTTACCCTAGTAAAAATTGATTTTTGTAAAATTTATTAACAACAGATGTCAGCACTTGGCAGCAGTGTCTTGTCTATCGTCTGTTTCGCATATTTTTCCCCAGGTGGTGTTTTGTTGACTTAAAAATTTTAATTAATGCTTTTTTTTTCTTAATTTATTTTTCTGATAATTTTTTATTTCATTTTTAGAATATTCATGCAATAATATTACTTTAATAAGTTCATTTATGCTATAATAAGTCAACATGTTATAAATATTCAAGTTGTGACCTTCAGTTCTGACATTTTATATATTTTTTTTATTTTAATCTAAAATATCAGCAAAATTTGCATGTATTACTACTGGTAAATCATATGTTTTTTACAAAAATTTATATTCTTATTCGATATGAAGTGAATAAAGTATATTAGTTCATTATATTAGTTGATAGCATAATAAAGTTTTGATTTCAAACAAATGTTTGATATAATGTGCGATAATTTCACAACAAATAAACGTACATGCATAAGTGTTATATAGAGTTGTACAGAACAATATTCTATGTCTCTCTGGCTCATTGCCAGCAAAAAACAAACTAAACAATGTTAATTTTGACAAAATGTTACAAGTTATCAAGTTTAAATGTCAGTTCTGATATATATTACTTTTTTCTTATAAATTTTTCTAATAAAATGTATTGAAAAATATTGTATTTAAAACTAAAGATAATAAATGTACGTAATTTTTTTCATATGAATATAATGATAATTTGATTTTTGGTGAATTTTTAAAATAATATTGCCTGACTGACCTATATTGTCTTCGGACAGTTTATAAAATTAACATAAACAAGATGGCAGTGGTAAAGGGTTAAGGCTTAACCTGAAGAACGTCTTCTACTGTACTATTTTAGATGTGATTTTTTGTTTTATAGTAATAACTAATGTTGAGAATCTTAGTGAAGTATCGAGGGAGAGTTATTTCTATCAATTTGCAAATTCCACGTGGGTGAAGCCACAGATAACAGCTAGTATTATACAGAATTATATAAAGTCAACTCAGATCCTGAATTAATTGTAAATATTTAGCATTTATCCTATATTTTTAAAATTTTATATACATTTTTATCTTTATTTTTCTTAAATAACTTCAAACTAGCCAATAATGATTTAGTTACAAGTATCACAACTATAATTTACACATACATTTTTTATCTTTTAAATTCATGAATAAATTAAATTTAATACCATTTTGATGGTTGTTCCAAAGATGGTGGATCAGATTTTTGTATCTTTAGAAGAACTCTCATGGGACTCATTTCATGATTAGGTGGTTCCATCTGAGCAAATTCAATTAAAGTTATACCTAAACTCCAAATATCAGCTTTATAGTCATAAGGATTATCTCGAAATGTTTCACATAATACTACTTCTGGTGCCATCCTAAATTAAATGTATAATTTTATTATCATGTAAGCAATTAATTATAAAATTAATTTTGATTTTAACATTAATAAACACAATAATTAACTTTTATTTTAATATAATAATAATATAATCATAACAACAAAATCATTTAACTGCAATATTTTTAAAAAACAAATTATGACAAACAAGAAAATGAAATATACTTTACATACATTTGTATTAAAATACTCTAAGACAGTGCTCTCAGATTAGTTGACATATCAATAGAAAACTGGTAATGTTTTTTTCAATATGCTAGGAAACAGTATCATATTTTTGCTATTTGAGTGTCAGATTATTATTTAACACTGTTTATTTCTGAAAACTCTGTAAACCAGCTGATGTGTCTCAGCCTGACTTAAGTCTGCAGACCATCACTTTTAGCATTACTCCATGATATGATTATATATATATATACACACACAGTAGAGCATTGTTTATCCAAAAGTCGGTCAACTGAAATGTCAGTTAACCAAAAGTGTTCCAGTTGGAAATTTAAATTTCCACTAGTGCTGTGGCACTGCAACCTTTGGCTATGTTTTGGGCTACTCCAATATTTTTTTGGTGGTGTGTGTTTTAGCTGGCAACACTGGCACTTTTGTGTAATGTTTTTCTGAGGATTGTGTGTCGTGCTGAATCGAACATTTTTGATATTAAAATACTTCTAAAATATTTTTTTTTGTTTTTATATTTTTCAATATATTTATTTTGTTTGTAAAAAATAAAGAAATAATTTTTAACGATACAATAGCCACATTATTATTATTACAAAAATTTTTGTTAGGCTTAACATCGACAAAAATTCAACACAAAGTGACACACAATGGAAAAAATTTCAACATGGGATAGGTTAATATATTTTTTGTACATAATTGGTTATCTGAAAAATAAGTTATCTGAACAACCCCAGTCCCCAATTGATTCAGTTAAATGACACTCTACTGTATATAGACTTGTAGACTGATTATAACTGTTGCTGTTCTTAATTTTTGAATACTTTTAACTTTTAAATTATGCCTTTTTCTATTTGGTACAATATAATCCAAAATGTTTATATATATATATATATATATCTCAAATGTTGAGATATATATATATATATATATATATCTCAACATTTGCCTCTTTATTATATATCTCAAAATTATGCCTCTTTCTATTTGTACCAAATAGAAAGAGGCATAATTTAAAAGTATTCAAAAAATAAGAACAGTAGCAGTAAGGTCTCTGAAATTAAATGTTTGAAGTGAAATCTCTTAACTATTGTTTAAATTACATTCTGGTAAAACATTCATAAAGAATAACATTCAAACATTAAAATATGAAACTTATCATTCTTCTAAATTATTCTAGTTCTGATAAAATTGCATGAATGCATTATAACTCATTATAAATCTTTTCTCATATTTTATTTCAAACTATACACAAAAAAGACAGTCATAAACTCTTTGTGACATTATCAATAATTTTACTTTTTTTATGATATTACAGTACTTAAAAATTTTAACATAACATTAAAATAAATAATTACTTAATAATGATAAAATGAAAGAAGGAAAGACAAATTCAGACACATTCACTTAAATTACTCATAGTATTATGTAAAATGTCATATGCTAAAATTTGAATTTTTTTAAGAATCATTAAAAAGAACATTCATCTTTCATTTTATCTAATATTTGACAAAATAATGTTAAATTTTTAACTATTCATGCTTATTATTGATATAATAAGTGTTACATAAATCATTACTTATTAATAAATCCCTGATTTATGTAAAATGAAATGACAAGAACTAATTATCTTTTTAATATTTTTCTTTCTTAGTATTGCATTTTAAAATGCTATTGTACAAAAGTGCAAACTCATTCTAACTTTTTGAAATTTTTTCAGTTTTGTTGAAATTGCAAAAATAATAAATATAAATAAATAAATAAATATATATATATATGTATATATATAAAACTGCTGTATAAAATTCAAGGAAAACCCTCTGCCTCTTCCAACATCAGAGATAATTAAAGAACATCCAAAAAAGTTTTTTTTTTTTTTTTGTTTATATAATAATCTATAATAATCTTGACACACTATTCTTTTGAGGGAGCTAATGCTATAGAAAATTTATTAAATTCATCCTTATATTATTTAGATAAACCTTTTATATATGGGAAACAAAAACATTGAAAAGATTGTGGTTTTGTTTTAACTTTAAATCTATGTGAAACATACTTATCACACCATTTTTTTAAAAGTTTTCTAGGTTATCCATTTAACAAATATTTCTTAAATATCTGCTCTATATCTTTTCTTTAATGTTGTATTGTGACAATGTTTTCTTTATTTCCATTATAAATATAATTTCTTTACTTGTTAAAGGTTAAAGGTATGCTTTATAACTAATAGATGTTTTTAACATTACATAATTTTTTATACTTAAGGAATTGATATTTTTTATCTACTCTTCTAATCGTTATATCTAAATAATGTAAGGATGAATTTAATAAATTTTCTGTAGCATTTACTCCCTTTCAAAAGAATAGAGTATCAAGATTATTAACAGAAAATGAAGAAAAGAAACTTAAAACAGCTGGAATAGTTTACAAGATATTTTTACTTGTGATAAAACAAGCATCAAGCAGCTGTAAGATTAAGAGTTATGATGTTACCATGGTATTTAATTGTAGTGAAACAAATATCAAAAATATTATAATTTTGTATACTGTTAAAAGAAAACTTAAAGAACATTTTGCAGTAATAAAGAATGAAAAATGTAAGTAACAACATTAACATCAATGCATGTTGGAATAGAATTGTAAACTATAAATAAACTTTATGCGGATAGAATTGTATAATCATCACTAAAGAGACCAAAGCACTGTCAATTTGGAAAAATGCATTTGGTATATATAGGTAACTTAAAATTTATATTTAATGTTTAATAATTAAAATAACCTTGTCCTGTTTTAAATCTTCTTTGGATATTCTTTAATTATCTCTGAAGTCAGATGAGGCAGAGATTTTTTCTGAAATTTTATACAGTTTCTTAATAAAATAAATTCTGACCACCTCATTGTAAACCTTTTTTAAAATTATTATTTTTTTAATATATATATATACACAGGGTGTTCGGAAATTCCCATTACAAACTTCTAGGACTTGTAGAGAAGAGTGAGTACATAATATTTTGATTAGGAACCCATGTCTGGAAACGTACCATTCCGTCCTATGATAGTTTCAAATCAGATATTTAACTCTTCCACTTCTGCTGAGGGAAAGAGAAGTCTCAGAGTTGTTTGTCCTGATATGAAATAGGGTAGACAGGATAACATGTACTACATCATCCTGTCTACCCTATTGCATAACAGGACATGGGTTTCTAATCAAAGTGTTATGTACTCACTCCCCTCTACAAGTTCTAGAAGTTTGTAACGGGAATTTCTGAATACCCTGTATATGTAAAGGAAAGGAATAAACATTGAAAAATGTCACTCTTAGCCAATCAGAATCAAAATTTCATCTATGGTATGTGATCTATATTATACCAATCATATAAGTCTAATTCCATATTCCAGCAAACTAGAAGATCTGCCATTATTTTTCTCTTGCTTTGAAATTTAATTGATAAGTTTGAGTACTTACAGCACATTTTTATTTAAAAGTTTGTTGTAATCTGCATATACAGTAGAGCGTCATTTATCCGAATCAATTGGGGACTGAGGTTGTTCGGATAACTTATTTTTCGGATAACCGATTATGTACAAAAAAATATATTAACCTATCCCATGTTGAAATTTTTCTCTGTTGCATGTCGCTTCGCATTGAATTTTCATTGATGTTAAGTCTAAACGTAAATTTTTTAAAATAATAATTGTGGCTATTGTATTGTTAAAAATTATTTCTTTATTTTTTACAAACAAAATAAATATATTGAAAAATATAAAAACATAAAAATTTATACTTTAGAAGTTAATCTAATATCAAAAACTTGTAAAGGTTCAACCTTCTTGTCACATATTCAAGAAGGTTGAAAAACACTGCTCTAATCCAACTTCAATACCACCTCATAGCAGCAACAGAACATTAAAATTCACGCAAAACAAAAATTGATGACATGTGATTGAAATATATCCACATTAATTATTTATCAGAAATTTATTATTTATTACTGGTCAAAGACCAACTTCAGCATCATCCCTTAACTGGCAAAATAACTTGAAAATCTGCACAATATTTAAATTTTAGATGTATGGTCAAATTGTTCCTAAGTCTGAAAGTTTGTAAGTAGAGGAGCTTCTGTAATGTAAAATTTTTAGTACAATTATTAAAATAAAGCATCCTACTTTAAACAACATTTAATAATTATTTGTTGTGGATAGTAATCTCATGTTATATAGCATTATTTAACAAGTGTAAATAAATAAACTAATTATAATACTTACCAATAAGGTGTACCAATAAAAGAATCTCGTTTTTGTAATGTTTGTTTGTTTTTAGCAGATACTCCAAAATCAGCTACAAAATTATTAAAGTAATATTTATCATCATCAAACATTTGCTTTAAAGTAAAAAGTTTTAAATCAAATAATTAACTGTCTACCAAATTTATCAAATTATGTATTTTTTTTAATTAGTATTTGAAAATAAAAACAATTCTTAAATTGAAGTTAAAATCTTCTTAGTGTAAAGAATTAAATGTTTACAAAATTTATATGATTATATCTTTAAAATTAATGTATCTTAAAATTTGATCAAATTCCTTTGGAATAATATTTAAATTAAATATACAAGATTAAAATATAAAATTATTAAACTATATAAAATCATGATTAGCATAAATTAATAGGAATTCTGAATATAAAATTTCTACAAAACTAACTCAAATAAAATACAAGTTATGTAAATAAACAGCATATGTTCCTTAAATACAAAGACAAGTAATAATTACTGTTGTAAGTTGTAAGAAAAAGAATTAATTAAACTTGTAAATATATATTTTAATTTATTGCAAATTTATGGCAAGATATACACTGTTATATAAATGTGTTAATTATTTTTCTTCTATACCAGTGGTTCCCATTTGATAGTTTACATGGATTCATACTAAAAATTCTGTAATGTTGCCAAACACAATTTAGCAATAAACTGTTTTCAGAAAAAAGTTTAGACATATAATTAAATTTACATTACATTAAAAGTTCTTCCTAGCATCCTAACATATTTTATTGATAATGAATAATTAATGCATGACAGAAATTATGAAATAAATATGTTGGAGACAATATACTTATTTTTAATTCTTAAAGAGAGACTTTTTGTAAGAAAATGGTGAATTATTTATATAGAATAGTACTGACACACATTCACTAAGTTATACTAATTAATTAAAGCACTGTCTGTCTGTATCATTATCAAAAGTACTCATAATTATATATATATAATTTGAAAATTAAAATAAATTAAATGATGTTAAATAATGAAAAACTCAAAAAAAATTTGTAAAATTTTGCTTGAGTGTTCTTAATAATTTTAACACCATAAAGAATTTAAATGCTTTGATAAATAAGATAATTGCTTANTATTTTTTTAATATATATATACACAGGGTGTTCGGAAATTCCCATTACAAACTTCTAGGACTTGTAGAGAAGAGTGAGTACATAATATTTTGATTAGGAACCCATGTCTGGAAACGTACCATTCCGTCCTATGATAGTTTCAAATCAGATATTTAACTCTTCCACTTCTGCTGAGGGAAAGAGAAGTCTCAGAGTTGTTTGTCCTGATATGAAATAGGGTAGACAGGATAACATGTACTACATCATCCTGTCTACCCTATTGCATAACAGGACATGGGTTTCTAATCAAAGTGTTATGTACTCACTCCCCTCTACAAGTTCTAGAAGTTTGTAACGGGAATTTCTGAATACCCTGTATATGTAAAGGAAAGGAATAAACATTGAAAAATGTCACTCTTAGCCAATCAGAATCAAAATTTCATCTATGGTATGTGATCTATATTATACCAATCATATAAGTCTAATTCCATATTCCAGCAAACTAGAAGATCTGCCATTATTTTTCTCTTGCTTTGAAATTTAATTGATAAGTTTGAGTACTTACAGCACATTTTTATTTAAAAGTTTGTTGTAATCTGCATATACAGTAGAGCGTCATTTATCCGAATCAATTGGGGACTGAGGTTGTTCGGATAACTTATTTTTCGGATAACCGATTATGTACAAAAAAATATATTAACCTATCCCATGTTGAAATTTTTCTCTGTTGCATGTCGCTTCGCATTGAATTTTCATTGATGTTAAGTCTAAACGTAAATTTTTTAAAATAATAATTGTGGCTATTGTATTGTTAAAAATTATTTCTTTATTTTTTACAAACAAAATAAATATATTGAAAAATATAAAAACATAAAAATTTATACTTTAGAAGTTAATCTAATATCAAAAACTTGTAAAGGTTCAACCTTCTTGTCACATATTCAAGAAGGTTGAAAAACACTGCTCTAATCCAACTTCAATACCACCTCATAGCAGCAACAGAACATTAAAATTCACGCAAAACAAAAATTGATGACATGTGATTGAAATATATCCACATTAATTATTTATCAGAAATTTATTATTTATTACTGGTCAAAGACCAACTTCAGCATCATCCCTTAACTGGCAAAATAACTTGAAAATCTGCACAATATTTAAATTTTAGATGTATGGTCAAATTGTTCCTAAGTCTGAAAGTTTGTAAGTAGAGGAGCTTCTGTAATGTAAAATTTTTAGTACAATTATTAAAATAAAGCATCCTACTTTAAACAACATTTAATAATTATTTGTTGTGGATAGTAATCTCATGTTATATAGCATTATTTAACAAGTGTAAATAAATAAACTAATTATAATACTTACCAATAAGGTGTACCAATAAAAGAATCTCGTTTTTGTAATGTTTGTTTGTTTTTAGCAGATACTCCAAAATCAGCTACAAAATTATTAAAGTAATATTTATCATCATCAAACATTTGCTTTAAAGTAAAAAGTTTTAAATCAAATAATTAACTGTTTACCAAATTTATCAAATTATGTATTTTTTTTAATTAGTATTTGAAAATAAAAACAATTCTTAAATTGAAGTTAAAATCTTCTTAGTGTAAAGAATTAAATGTTTACAAAATTTATATGATTATATCTTTAAAATTAATGTATCACAAAAATTTTTGTTAGGCTTAACATCGACAAAAATTCAACACAAAGTGACACACAATGGAAAAAATTTCAACATGGGATAGGTTAATATATTTTTTGTACATAATTGGTTATCTGAAAAATAAGTTATCTGAACAACCCCAGTCCCCAATTGATTCAGATAAACGNGAATTAATTAAACTTGTAAATATATATTTTAATTTATTGCAAATTTATGGCAAGATATACACTGTTATATAAATGTGTTAATTATTTTTCTTCTATACCAGTGGTTCCCATTTGATAGTTTACATGGATTCATACTAAAAATTCTGTAATGTTGCCAAACACAATTTAGCAATAAACTGTTTTCAGAAAAAAGTTTAGACATATAATTAAATTTACATTACATTAAAAGTTCTTCCTAGCATCCTAACATATTTTATTGATAATGAATAATTAATGCATGACAGAAATTATGAAATAAATATGTTGGAGACAATATACTTATTTTTAATTCTTAAAGAGAGACTTTTTGTAAGAAAATGGTGAATTATTTATATAGAATAGTACTGACACACATTCACTAAGTTATACTAATTAATTAAAGCACTGTCTGTCTGTATCATTATCAAAAGTACTCATAATTATATATATATAATTTGAAAATTAAAATAAATTAAATGATGTTAAATAATGAAAAACTCAAAAAAAATTTGTAAAATTTTGCTTGAGTGTTCTTAATAATTTTAACACCATAAAGAATTTAAATGCTTTGATAAATAAGATAATTGCTTATATATTTGGATGTAAATTTTCCAAATCTTAACAAATACTAGTAGAAATTTTTCAAAAACAAAACACATGAATTATTCTATGATGATAATATTAAAAACAAAATTTTTATATCAAGTAAGTTCACATAAGTGGGTTTTGAATATGAATTTTATGTTTAAAGTAATTTATGAAACAAAAAAGATTAGGAATCACTGTTTTATACAATTAACAAATATATATTATTCCTATTTAGAAATTTTTTTTATTTGCATTATATTTATACAAATTTTATATTCAAAATACGATAAATAAATTATAAAAGTAAGATAATCATATTTTATATATAATTTAAGAATTTTGTATTAATATCTCATATATTAATTTTATATTTTAAATATTCTTCAAAGAAATTCAATCTAATATAAAGTTTGTTTTATATACTCAAATCCTTTTGTAAAAAATTGCTTAAATCCTATAAATTTCAAATATATTTAACTCTTACAATTTAAAATTATTGAGCTTGTTACAAAAAATTTTATTTCAAACATATCTGATGTAGTAAAACATAAAAATGTAAATGTTTTACTACAGATAAATATTTATAATCTGTTTACATTCAAAGTAACTGTAATTAGCATCTTTTATTTTGATTTTTTTTAAATTATTTGAGTTAATACAAGAAAATATTAATTTTATATTATTTTTCCTTTTTTTGAAATAATTATAATAAGTAATACTTTAGAATTAAATACAATAGAAGTTCATTAATCCAGCATCCAATAATCCAAAATGTCTGGTAATCTGGCACACTCTACAAGTAACTGATAATATAATCTGACTACTGAATGAAGCAGTTCTATCAACATTGTCTCAAGAATAATTAAAAGGGCCTCTCAATGTAATTAGGTTAAACTATACATAATCTACACTATAATGCACTGAACAAACTTTACTTCATTAGAACTAGCACATTTTTCATTTAGTAAAATGCACAACTAATGTATTTTCCTTTCCTTGTAAAGTGAGGAGAGCATACACAAAAACAAGTTTCTCATACTTGGAGCATGTATACAATGTATGTCTGGTAAATAAATATTACAGTATATGAACACAAACCATTGTAAATGTTGATTTTGTGTAATAACATGTTCATTAACATTTTTACAGATTTTTCACTCTTAACACAGTTTAGTCATGCCCTGTCTCATCTTCAGACTGAATAAAGAGCATTCATAAAGAAATCAGAAGCATACAGAAGTATGCACTGGTACAAAATGTACAGCAATTCTGCAACATTCAGACTATAAATTATTGAATTTTGTGCAAATGCAAATACATCTGTAATCCAGCATCTTCAATAATCCAATATTATTCTGGTAACCATGTGCTGGATTAATAAAACTTCTATTGAATTGAAGTAATTAATTAAAAACGAATTAAAAAAAGAAACTTTTTTTATTTATGTAATAATTTTGTCCCCAATTTTTATCTCAAAGAATTATTCTATCAATAAAAACTAAAATAACAACAACTGTAATACCAAGTTTAACTTCTCCATCAAGTGTTAGAAGCACATTTCCTGCTTTCAAATCCCTATGAATTACACGATTTTTATGAAGATATGATAAACCTTGACAAATTTCATGACACAGATACTGAATTTGTTTCTCTGTTAAAGGCTTTTCAAGATCAATCATTATGCTATCTACTGCACCCACTTCACAAAATTCAATCAACATCTACAAATAAAAAGATTTTAAATTAAACATATTATACAAAAATTGTTATATTTAAGAATTATTTTAATACAAAAATAAATTTATAACTTTGTTCATAATTATAAATTAGAATGCTATAACTTTAACAAACTTAAAAAATAATACTTTAATAATTAATAGTCAAATTATGAAAATTTTAACATTTTCCCACAAACATATTACTGAATGCATTTTGGATTATGAACATTAATACTTAATACTGCTTTACTGTCAACATATTTATTAGTAATTTCTTATTATGATTATTTAATTTTTCTTTTAATTATACTTAAACTAAATTTATTATCATTACTTTAATCTTATTTAGTTTTTAATTTAATTAAATAATAAAAAAGATCAAAATATCAATTTATGAATTTATCCCAACTAACACTATATTAAAAATATATTATTATTATTATTAATTAAACAAAATTTAATAATGAACCTGCTGAATAAAAAAAAATATTAAATATAACTAGATATATAAAATTCAACTAATACTGTTAATAACCTTGAAAAACTATATAAATAATTACATAAATGAAAGATCTTTTCAATTCATTTATTACAGAATTTATAAAAATATAAAAACAACAAAAAGGAGATTTGTTTTTTAATCAAAACTAATTGCTGATTTATATTCTTATTTCATCAGCATCATTAAAGATATCTCTTTTACAGATATTAGAGATACTATCAAGTTTTCTCCTGTCATCTCACCTAGATTTTATCCATACTTATATGCTTAAAAATTTTATTTACTCCTTCCTTGATAGGTCTGATAGAAAATATAAAAGAAATATTGGCAGTCACACTATTGCATTCTTACTGTTTATAAAATGGAATAAGTAACATAAAATAAATTATTTTCATGATAAAGTTTTGCTTCAAAGTATCAAATAATGCTTTCTCCATTTTTTATTATTATTATTATAATGATTGATCTATTCTTTCTCTCACTACATTACTATGGTTTCTGTCATTTTGCATTATCGTCTCTATTCAGTTTATTTATTAGTTGGCTTCTTTTCAGTCTCAGCTCTCTGTATCTATACATAAATTTTCTACCATTCCATACTATATATATATATATATAGTACGGAATATGATAAAATAGTATATATATAAAAATGATAAAATATGTATATATATATACACATATTTTATCATTTTTATATAATATCAATACTTTATGCACTTTGTGTTAAAAGTAATATTAAAACAGAACAAATAAATAATTAAGTGTTTTACCCAATAGCAAGACATTTAATACTCTAACTTTTTGAACTAAATATACTTTATTTTCAAGAAGTTCAAACAAGTATTCATTATGAATGTTACAAATCTAAAAATTGCAAAATAAATTTGAAATATTTTTATTCTTTGATTTATCCTTTTTTTTTTAATATTCTTTATTTTAGTTTTGGTGTTGTTGAATTTATTTTAGTTTCTTAGAAGTTATAAAGTATGCTTTCTTTTCATTACTATTTCTTCCCAACTCAAATTTGTAATGCAATTAAAACTATTTTACTTGGAACAAAAACTCAAACTCTTGAGTTATATATTATCATCAGAAGTCAAGAGAAAATTCTTTCTTAAAAATGTTTTCTTTTGTTGATTTCTGATAATATATATTGATATATAATCGCTTGTGTTTTCTAAAAAATTCTCTCTATAAGAACAATAATTTAAAGTTGTATTTATATTTGGGGAGCTTCCTTAACTAGTTGTTTACAATGAATTCTTTATTTAGTTTTTTTAAACATAACAGGAAATCAAGACAAGTTTTTGTTTTTATTAGACTATGATTTTCAATATTGTATGCTTTAAGCTATATTTTTTTTCCTTCAAATTTATATACAGATCTTAGTTTCTCACATCACAAATGAGTCATAACTTCACTCACTTTATTCCATGTGGAAAAGAAATTTCAATTTTATAAACTATTTGAAATAAAGAGAAAACTTAAATAAGATTTTAAGAAATTACTATAAAAAAAAAATAGATAATGCTATCAACAAAAAAACAAAGTACAGTCGACCCCCCTATAATTACGGTCCCTATAGTTACGATTCCTATAAAACTACGAAAAAATTGCTACCGGTATCCGTAAAAAATAGTAAAAGTTCCCTATAAACACCTCAAACGTCATCGGGCAGCCGAACTACTTTCCCGCCGTCCGTAGCGCCACGCTACGGAGAGATTTCTATCGTCTGGACAGTATTATATAAATTATATATAAATTAGGTACTGTACATATAATTATATATTAATTATATATAAATTAGGTACTGTATATATAATTATATATTAACTTATTGTAACTTTGTTATAATTAAATATATAATTTCCGCCGTCTAGCGTGGCGCCACGCTACGGAGATTTTTACGCTAACTATCGTCTGTCAGTATGTAAATTAGGTACCGTAAGTCTAATACAGTACTGTAATTTTATACATTTCTTGTGAAAGAAACATTTCTTATTCAACGGCGATTAAAATTATTTATATTAATGATGTCTCCGAAGTTC